TGCGGTAAGTAAAAATATAAAATTCTTGAAAACGTACCAAAAATATTTGATAACGTAAAAAGGTGAACTTTGAAAAATAAGGAACTTAAAAATTGCACTAATAAATGGGCTATATGTGAGCCGTGCGCGGATGTAAGGTGTGTTATATCGAAATTTAATTAATAGAATTGAGAATTAATCCCAATTTTAAGTCTTACAAATGTCCAAGCTAATTTTTTGTACCTCGTGTACATTTTTGAAAGTTATATCGAAAAATTAAATTTCAATATGCGTTTTACATCTCACATTTCGCATACGGCTCACATATAGCCTATTTATCTCTTATACTTTATTTCAACCCTTATAGAAATTTATTACTAGTAACGCCAATTTATCACTTATTTCGAGTAATTAATCACTTTTATTTCGAATACTTAAATTACTGTATATTATAGTATTTTAAATACTCAAAATAAGTGATTAATTGGCGTAGTGATAAATTTCTACAAGAGAATAAGGAGCCTTTAAATTCTTAATGTAAAAAATTTCAAGTAATTTTCTTTAATAAAATTTAATTAAAAAATTTAATTAAAAAATTTTTGAACACTGTGTTATATCACATTTAAAATCGTGATTATTTCAATAAAAAAACATTTTATGTGTAAAAAATATATTTTTTATATTTAATAAATTTTATATATATATATGCATATATGTAAAATATTCTCTCTCTCTCTCTCTCTCTCTCTCTCTCTCTCTCTCTCACACACACACACACACAACGGGGGCCAAATCTCTCAAATTGGTCTCATGATCAATTAGCCTGGATTCGCACCAGGGGCAAAGTCTGTTGGTAATGTCAAACGAATTTAGCCTGGACTTGCACCAGGGGCAAAGTCTTTTGGTCGAGTCTACGAAATTTAGCACGGACTCGAACCAGGGGCAAAGTCTTTTGGTTCAAGTCTACGAAATTTAGCACGGACTCGAACCAGGGGCAAAGTGTGTCGGTAAGGGGCAAAGTCTATCGCACGAAGATGGCGGTCTCTTCTTTAGGCAGGCCTTTGGCGATCTGTCTATTAATCTGTGACGCTACTACATATGCGATGTAAGAGAGACAAAGATGGAATGATGCTCTCTCCTTGTCAAGCAGTCAGCATGTTACCACAGAAATTTCCCCTGCTCCTTATGAATCTAGTGAGAATCTTATCGTCCAGATATTTCATAAAATAAGTGACATAACTTCGTGAATTTTTTTTTAATATATTCTTTATATAATAAAGCAGTCCTCTAAAAGGCCGGATTTTACATTTTCGCTCTTAAAAATTTATAATAAATAAAATACGGACTCGCGGCTAACCCAACCTTACCCGTTCCTAACTGTGCATTCCCCCAAGTTTATTAAAAATTTTTATTTTTATCTTTTTTTCATAAAATAGCTCTTTAGAGGACTACAAATGAGCTTACTGATTAAGAATATCCTAAATTTAATAAGATTCATTCAATATTTTCGCTAATATCTGGAAAATAAGAATCCGTAATTCCCGGCCGGCCGATAGGCGTCTCCACCATGTCGCCTGTCGACCCTTAAGTCGACGGTCGGTCGCGAGATGACGCGGCGAGAGGTGCGCGGCGCGGCCGTCATGATGAGGCCACCGACAGTCAAAGATGGCCGGCGCCAGCGACTGGTTTAGCATCGGGAGTACGGTGCTTTGTAAAACCTGCCACGAGCAGGAGATCGAGGGTGAGGTGTTGGCGTTCGATCCACAGACCAAAATGCTGATACTAAGTATCCTTTTCGCGAGAAAAAGAAAAAAAAAGAAATCACGGACGGCGCCGATCGTCGACGTCGGTGTCGCGCGCCGCGCGAGAGACGCGTGAAGTGTAAATAACGGCGACGGGGCCGTCTTCGCGGTGTTTCCTTGCGTCCGGAGCATCGACGACGCTCCTCGATTATCCCGATCCCGCTCGCGGTCTCCCTCTTCCGTCGTCCGGACTTCGCGAATCCTTGACGCTCGTTGGCAGAGTCAGGTTAGTTTCGCCATCCATCATCAACCATGCGTTGGCCTTCCTCCCTCTATGCATTCGTTTTGTTGTCTTTATTCGCGTACCTAGCCGTCATCGTCGTCGTCGTCGTGTCCGTCACATCGCGCGAATTTCGTTCCCTCTCGAAAACACGTGATTACAATGATTGTTCATAATGGTATAATAATTGGTTTTTTTTTTTATTAGTACATTGGATCTTATCTCGTCAGTGATGATTTTTAATTAACAATGGATTTTTAAGTAATGCTGGAGTACAATTTGAGATACATGAGCAGTTGTGTTGATTTTTCAGTATTTGTAATATTCATCGGCTCCAGTGTTGTTTGAGTATCTTAGTAAATATTAGAGTATTTTTTTGTGATAAGACTTATGAACCTTAAATTTTATGAGATTCATTACAATGGAAAAATGATAGGATAAATAGAAATATTTGATAAACAAGTTTTTTTGTGACCGTTATAATTATGACTTGAGACTTTAGAAACAAATAGATTAACAATTGGCATTGCTCTATTTACTAAGAAATTCCTCTTTGAATATTTACATGTTTTTTTCAATCTGCTGTATTTTGATCTTGAATTAATTACTCCATTACTTCTAAGATATAATTATGCAAACCAATGTTCATATATTATATTTCATGAAAGAATACTATTCCTTAACAACAACTTCATAGAATGTCCATCGTCGAGTGGTAGACCTTCGCTAAATGATGTACACATAGTAAATTTATCTCTCGTATCCAATGTTCAAGTAATAAGAGAAGTTAGTCCTACTACCAGCGAACCACCACAAAGCCTTAATTTACAAAGGCTAAATACAAGAGTTCGTAATCAGGTTGAAGAGAAGAAGAGACTGGTAATGGCTCTGCAGGCCGGAGTATCTCCAGAGGGACAGAAACTCTTTATTGCTATTTCAAAGACTATTCAAGATATTACGTGGAATGGAGCTAATATTGTTGTATTTAATAATGTCACTATTAGACCACCATACAAAGTGGACAATGTCCATGGAAACACAGAATCTGGAGCATATAGACATGTAAAAAAAGTGGTACGTAAATACAAAGAATGTTAAGTAAAATATATTAATATATATATGCGTACACTATTTAATTCATTATAATTGTAAATTCTTTTATAAACAAGTAACATTTCTAACGATTAAACACGATTTTAGAATAATTAAAAAATAATACATAATTTATATATAATCTTTAAATAAAAATGTTAATTTATTAATAAAGATCTCTAAAAAATACATTTAAAAAATCTCATCAATTTTCTATATACTGAATTGATACAAAAAGAAACATATTGAATAAAAAATATAAAACTACAAGAATTATTTTCGATCTATTTTCTATTCGTTACATTTTGTTATCGTCACAGGTTGAGAAACACCTTAAAGATACAGCTCAAGCGCAACAACAACGGGAACAACAACAGCAGACACAGAAAGGCGGCGAACTGCAATAAAAGTCTAAAAAGGCACTACACCATCAAGATCGCTAAAAATATCTTTCGAGAAATGTTCCCAATCTTTGACGAGAAATAGGAAGAATCAACGGGATACCAAACACACAGAACAGCCTGACGACAAAGCAACATAGATAAGCCTAGATCGCGGAAAATCGGCATCCTCGAGCGAACTCCAGTCATATGTTGAATGGAAAAAGGACAAGAAGTGCAAATTTAAAACAAAAATTTCACACATTCTTAATCCGAGTATTGTTAACAGTATCGCATGTGCAGCATTTTATAAATACAATCAGACGTACCATTCGTAATTATTAGTCACCAGCCTAAAAACTCTACAAAAGCGGACAGATCGACTGATTCAAGTAGCTACCGCGTATTTGTTAAACACCACTTGATACTACATTCGTATGTAATGTATATCAATGCACCAACATGTGCTGTAGTTTAAATAATTTAATTCAAATACGTTTAACAGTCGGTTTATCGATTATCGACATTAAGCATGAAACGTATTTTAGCATGAATTTATTGAGATCGATTTCCTCTTTTTAAAACGCGAATCCGCGCGTTCGTAAAGTAATATATATTATTTAAGTCCGTATGAAACGGCTCGAGCATTTGCAAACAAACTCCGAAGACAGACTCCGCGCGTCGCAAATCAAGTAAGATAAAAATACAGTTGTCGACATCTCGAATGCTTTAATTATGTAATTTTCTCAATAATAAATTGTGATTTATCATCGGTGATAACATCACGATATAATATTACGATAAGATAACTTTACAGAGCTTTTTTTACATCCTCTTTATCAAATAAAAAAAGATAGTATTATGCAGTTTTGTTAAAATTTGCTGACATATGCGAAAGCGAGTTTCTATTTGTTATTTCCGAATGTATTCTTTATAAATTATTCTGCTTTGTATTTATGCAGAAAATACATTTTCTAACGGGATATCAATAATTCTAATCGAGTCGGCAACCGTGCTTCTTTATCCTAGTTTTGCGAATCAAGATGCGTATGATTAATTAATTAAATGATCCCGTTTTCGAAGCTCGCTTCACCCTGATTCATGGACAATTCCGCGTTATTCCCGCAATTATTATTAACGCAATCTTTCAGAAATCTCTCAATCAACAAAAAAAAAGTATCGAAAGAAATAATGATTCGTCTTATACTTGGTGGCACGTCTTCAAATACGTGTGCTACAATTTTTTCTTGCGCAAGCCAAATCGCGAGAATGTAATTTAAAAAAAAATTAGGGCTTTGATTTATTCAAGATTTACCTGCGAGATCTGACGTTTCATTTCTCGTCGAAAACAAAAAATCGAATTCATCTTGTGCTCTTTTTTAATTCCATTCTGAATGAAGCGATATGAGAATGAGAAGAACAAATGTGCGCGAGAGAAATTGTAAGAAGATATATAGTTACATAAAAAGACATAAAAATAAATGTAATATAAATTCTGTACCTGTCGTACCTATATGTATGCGTGTGTGCGTGTCGCCTTTCCTTTATTAAGCGGTCCATTATAATTACAGAGATATTGTGTCGTAGATAAACAGAGTCGTTGAATATCGTGTTAAAAGATCAAAAGCTTGCTTTTCATGATTCAGCGCTGAACAGACAAGAAAAGTGGACGGCTACAATTAACTACAAAATATCACACATCATGTGTCAATCGGAGACTATACATATAATTGCTCAAATAAATTACTCCATATTCTCGCTCGCTTCTTCGATCGTTTCCGAAGCGCCGTTCGTCGATCTCACGCTTACGGATAAATCGTGAGTAACCCGGGCGATCCGGGCGGCCGCCTTGAATTTTATCGCAGCTCGGTGCTTCTCGGTTTTCCTCTTCCACTGCGAAAGGACGTACGGGGATTAAAAAGATTCCGCGCGTGAAAAGTGCATGCAATTTGCATTATTCTTCATCTACTCTGTTACTTTAGCGGGTCGCGACTGCGCATGCGCATCTCGCCGTTTGCGCGCGAAACGTCAAGTCCGCGCATGCGCACTTTGCTGTTTGCGCGCGAAACGTCAAGTGCGTTCAAAGAGTCGCTGGTCGGGCGGAGCAAAGATCGACCGGCCAATCGAGATGCGAGGAGACTCCTGATTGGTAGATTCTCGAACGCACCTTAGCGCTTGCGCGCAAAGGACGGATTTTCGAACGCAATTCCACTCCTTACTCCTTCACGCACGAGGTGCATCGCGCGAAAGAGACGGCAGTTTCGGGTTATAATCTTGTTGTGTGCGCGAATGACAGGAATATAAATATATTTTTTATATTTCTGTTGTTGACACTTTGTGATCACCGTAGAGGCATTGAAAGACGGAAATTTTGTATTAAAAGGGAATTTCGTTCGACAACGGTGCGAAATTTGTGCCGGTGACAAACAGGTGAGATACAACACGTGTATAATTCGCATGCTTTTGAAAAAAGAAACGGACTATTTGCGTCGAAACGATACGAAATGATACACGTTTATTTTTCACAGATCGCCGGAAACTCGAAAATGAATGCCTGAAGCGATAACTGTGAGACTAATTGAGATCTGACTTTCCAAGGACACTGCTCCTTAGAGAGCAAAATGACGTTTTTCTCAATATAAGGAATTACTACGAATGATTGAAGCGAGCGCAGATATTTGACTTCACTCGATGATATTTCACGTATGTTTTTAATGTTTTTCTTAATTTTTGACAGCTTAAATTAGTTAAAAAATCTTTTGACAATACTACGTCTAATAAACCTAACCTAACTTATTAAAAAACGCATGTAAACAGAAATCTCGTTTTTCTACTTTTGCTTTAGCGAAAATTTTGAAAGATATACATACAATCAAATCGTCAAAGACACACGTTATCTTTCGAAATTATGATAAAGAAAACGATTTGTCTTTTGTAATAATATAGAAATCATTTTCTTACAAGCCAAACTAACCTAACGTTTTATAATCTGACACAATGGAAAGAAAAAAATAAACATATTTATATATGAGATATGACTATAAAATGTGTAGCAAAACGTTGCAAAATGATTGATAAGAAAATCAAAAACATGTAAAGTAAGAAATAAAATAGAGAATGTATTGCATGAATAGACTATATGTAAAATTCAAAAGTAGCAAAGAAGTAGCAAAAGGTACAAGCTATCATCAATAATTGTTGAATCTATTTTATCATTTACCTGCTCGTCTCGAGACGGCACGTTTGCAAGATATTCTCTCATCTCAGGTTTCTTAGGATCAGCTATTGCCAATACCGACACGCAACCATCAACTGTTCCCAGAACAATGCTTTTACCATCATGAGTACTATCGATAGCACTTAGCTCAGCCTGCACTCTGTAATTTGCTACCATTTCACAATCTGAAGATCTGTAAGACAAATTATTTATGTTTTATATATATATATATGTATATATAATTTTTTTTAACAAACCAATGTAATTAAGCACAAAGATGATAGGATGAACTTTCAAAGAATGATACTTTACTATTTTAAATAAATTTATTACTTTATTAGTTTTCTTCTACTTGCCTGAAAACTCTAATAGTTTTTCGACCACTATGATAGTAAAGCACATACTCGTCTGTACGATTAAACATTGATATAACAGTGAATACTCCTTCAGCTACTTTGGATATGTATGTTTTCACAGTTGTACCTTTCTTTAACTCTATGAGTTCGAGGCCACCTCTGACATATAATATATTCAGTCACTTAATACCATAATATATAACACAATGTTTAGATCTGATTGCACACAATTACACTGTGTCTTACCTGCTAGGAGCATATAAAGTATATTTGCCATCCTTGCTAATATTTCCACTCCATTTTGGAATTGTACGTATAATCTTTTTTTTGTTAATATCGAGAATTGTACCCTTATCAGAGCCAATAATTCCTATCCATTGTGGTTTGTTAGGCATAGGAGTAATACATATGATATCCTGTTAACAGGTTTTTTTAACAGCGTGATTTTATATATGTATATAAAATATGTAAATAATTTGTTTTATATATTGTGTTTAAATTCTCTCTTGTATTTAAAGCTTTGATTCGTTCAGTTACAAAAATAATGCAGGAATTATTTATTAATTGAGTTATATATATTACCTTAAATCCAGGCAATTTTATGGGTATTTTATTGATCAAAGCTCCTGTTTTAGCGCTGTAAATTATAACACAATCTCTGTTGCCCTTGTCAGCCGCTGGTACCGCCAAAAAAGCATCATCTGATGTTATCACAACTTGTCGAAAAGGTGTGCCGGTATTACTTCTTACAGGATACTCGAAAGAGAAGATCGTTTTGCCATCTAATATAAAATATTGTATATTTCTTAATATTTCTTCTAGAATATTTGCGATATGAAGGCATCGATAATTTTTCTTCTTACCAGGAATACTTCTTATTACAAGAATCGCCGTAGTTCGCACGCTTTCCACTCCCACAGGATTGTTGGGCCTCGAGACGGCTAAGAACTTTGACGAATTTTCTATCAGCGTTAACTGTTTAACATTCGGTTGCTTTTCCTTGAACAATACTTGCTCCGTAATTCTGTTCCACACGAGAACGTTACCTGATTCCATCGATATGATATATCTGAAAATAAAATTTTCTAGTTATTTTTCTTATAATTAAACACTTATTAATAATGAGATTTACTTGCCTGCTGTCTTGTGTAATGCAAGCATGTGTAACAATTGCTCCTAATGGACTATCTGCTAGTTTTGACATTAATTTGCCTGTTTGCAGATCCCAAATACCTGCGCAATCTCTGGTGACCGTAACAGCCAAATTACCCTGTTCGGCTAAACTGTTTTGGAATATGATGAATCACACAAATCTAACGGATCAGTACTGATTTAGGATGCAGTATTAAACTTGAAATTACCTTATCATATCTATTTGTAATTCGTGTCTATCGATGACATGAACCTGTTCAAAGATATTGTTGATGTTCCACACTTTGACGCTTCTATCGATACTCGACGTTACAACGCTGTTCCAATTTCCGACAGTCAATGCTTCCAATTGGATGATTCTTGCAAAGTGCGCGTCTAATATCTTTACCAAATCAGACGTCTCGAGCGACCAAACGTACAAATTTTTCCTATAAAAGATAATTTGAATTGTTGCTTTTTCTCCCAAAATTTTTTCTTTTTCTCGTGAGAATTCAAGTTGACAAGAGTAATGACAGTTACCTTACGCCAGCGACAGCATAATTCTTGGTGCCGCTGACCATGACAGAGTTCGAGCACATCATTCTCGTACTAATGTTTCTTACTCCGTTCGGCAACATCAATACGTGAGCATCGCTTTTGCTTTCCAGGAACCACACAATAAATCCATTTCCGGTTGTCGCTAACAACATCTCCTCTTCCCTGTCCAACTTTAACTGCAATACATATTCCACATCATCGTTGTATGCCCGCGGCATATCGAAAACCTTTTCCCAATAAGACGAGGTCTCGTCGCTAATATACTTTACGACTCTGTAATCATCCTTGTTCGTACATGCATACAAAGTACCTTTGTCCTTCGTCATAACCATAGCGCTGAAACATTTTACTGCTGTTACGATCTTTTTTTGAACATAACTATTTTACAAATTATATCTTTCTACCTGTGAAATTCCAGTGGCTCGAGTGACGTCTTCTTTTTATAAGTGTGCAAAAGCATACGCGAGTCATCAAGACTCCTCGACCAGAATATGATCTCATAGTGATCCAAATTCGTATACTCAACGTCTGTACAAAGAAGAATACAGGGATGATGAATACATAAGTAAAAATATATAGAATATATGTAGAAAGATATATTTCTTACGCAAAATCGGCCATTTATTGGAATCCTCGGGATTGCTGTGAGTGTTGAGTAGGTTTCCTCGCAGATCGAATCTGCACCAACCTAGTTTTCCATAAATAAAGGCGTACTGATTCATCAGATGTACTCCACACACTGCATCCCCGTTTGGTAAAGGATTATCAATGACGACAAATTCACTCGTTAATGTATTCAAAACGACACTCTGCAGAAAATTATGCATCGTGAAATATTTCTCTAATTTGATATTCTTGTAATGAAAATATTGGACAATATTCAATAACTTTTAAACAATAGAAAATGAAAGACATTTATAAGCTTTTAATAAGATATAAAAACAAGAAGTATGAGTTTTATTTTTATTTAATTTTAAATTGAAAGTGCTTTGCTTCCTTCTTTAATAATCATATTTCTTAGAGTTAATAGCTTGTTTTACCTGATAATTGGTTGTAAAAGCTGCAGCGTATCTGTTATCGGGACTTAAAACCAATCGTTGCATTATACCTTCCACCCCAGGATTGACATCCCTCGTCATATCGCTAGTACTTAAATCCCAAGTGATAAATTTATTGGATATCGATACTATGTAGCGATAATCCGATGTTAGACAAAATCCAAATACCGCAAACTGATGGCCTTCCAACGAATACTAGACATCATAATTCGAAAATATTTCATGATAAAGTGAAAACATAGTTTTATGCACATATACATTAAAGACATATACAATAAATCAATAAAAAATCGCTTTGAAACAAAATTCTCTCATTGAAAAGAAGCATTATTGAAAATATTATTGGATATATGTATAATTACTTTCAATGGTCCACCGGGTGTATGCAGACAGTGATAAAGAGGAAGTAAAGCGCAATTCTTGACGCCGTCTTGGTCGCATGCTCGTAGTAGCATCCTTACATTAACATTTGCGCCAATTTCCGGCAACAATCGTCCAATCAATTGGGGTGCAAGCATGTCTGGATGATTTCCCAGAATCGCACCACCTAATCTCAGGGCATCAGCAACTAGCATCAGTTCTCTGAAAAATGCTTTGGATTATACTATACAAGAATATCAGAAACCAAACTAACATACAATTTACAAAGTATTTTTGGAATAAAAAATTCCAATTCTTAAAATATCGACGTCTGAGCTAAATATTTGAAAAGACTAAGATAGAACATCTCAAATTTCTTTTTGTTTGGCTTACCTCACTAAACTTTGATCATCGATAAAATTACAGGCATCTTCAAAATCAGAAAGCACAGCTTGCAAGGGGCAAGAGCTCAGCTTAGCGTGCAGCCATTCATAATTGAACAAAACATTCTCAAAAAGATCTTTAAAGCGTCGTGCCCTTACTAGATGAAACGGTAACTCGCCAAACTTTAATTACGAAAAAAGTATATATATATATATATATATATATATATATATATATATATAATAGTATATTTATATTTATTATAGGATTCTTCAAAGTACCTTTCGTAAGTTGTATCTCGAGATAGTTCCTTCCTTTGAATAAAACGCTAATGGCTGTTCCGGTACTTTCCTGTCGGCTACACCTTCTTTGTCTTGCAAATTAAATCTATAAATCATAATTATTTGATTATCTAATAATTTTTAATAAGACTTATTTTATAACAGTTCATTATAATTACCGATGTCTCTGTATCTCAGTGTACTTGAAAGGCTTCGGTTTGCCGCCTCCCCAAATTCCCAGATAATAATCCGCGATCATCGAATGAAAATACAACGCCATGTTCATGTTCTTGAAATAACGTTCCTTAGCCGTATCCCTGAATTGTCTGTGGTACCAGTTCATAACGCTCACACCATCCGCTTCTCTCTCGCTCAGATAATTAGGTAAATCATTTCTTATTCTAGTCCAGAGCAGAGGCGGAATACGTCTGACAGGTGGCAAATGGTACTGATAGACGTCGTCCAGGACTTTATCATCCAAGGAGATCAGATCCTCGAGCTCGGATTCCGATAAACCCGATTTAGCGGCCGTGATATAGGCTAAGGCGTGAAAGACCAAGATCTTGCCATGTTGTTTCTCGATCCTTTCGAATAGCATCATTATACTGTCCATTACTGTGCTGGCCAAATGCGTGTCCGCTGGTTTCGTGTAGCTACGCCACCTGCAAATCTCCGCAAACACGAGTTTCACGAAGATCGGCAAGGAACACTTTGATATAGCGTTCGCTACTAGACGCCATTGATAGTTATTTAGATCCCTCCTGGCTGTTTTCATCCACATTCTGCAAAAGTTATTATCACAATAATGAACAAAGTGTTTAAAACAAAAAAAGGAGTTTAGAAAAGTTGAGGATATATTCGATTCTTCTTTATTAGTAACATAATCATGATAATAATGAGTTTCTTCACCTTATCACATCCATAGCCAGATCTTCGCCCAAGGCAGTTACTTCGATGAAACTTTCTTCCGTATCTATCATCCTGCGTAGCAACTGATAATCTCTGGAAATCACAGGATTAGATTCCTCTGCTGCACATGATAAAATCATCTGAAATATTTATATGTTTGATCATGAAACATGTTATTTAATAAGAACTAGAGCTCTCATCTCTCATACATGAAAACATCCAATTTCACATTGCATTGAATCTTCTACCTCTACAAATAGAATGATTTATTTCAAGTTTCTATATGTTCATCATATAATAATTATATTCATATTTACCTTGCAGTTTGGTGGTAATCTCGTAGGCAACCATGATAATTTATTACCCTGTACACCTGTCAATTGATCAACACTATCCAGAAACAACAGAATAGGCTGTTTAGTGGTAGCTAAAGTCAACAAATATTTGAAATAAGCTGTAAGCGGTACCAGATCGTCAGGAATCTCTTCAAACGACAATCCATAATTATAGGAGATCTAAGAAAAGAGTGATTTAACATTCTTTATCTTTTCAAAAAGGTATTTACAAAACACTCACTTGCTGACAGATTGAGATCAATGTAGGGGTAAGCGCGCTGCTGTCGGGGGTGGTACCAAGAAAACGAATTATACTGATCGGTTTTTGCCACTGAGCCAGATGCTGCTCGTTAAACCGGCGCTCTTTGCCAACAAAGAAGTCTTGCCGCATCCACCTTCCCCATACAATACTAGTGGTTTATCGCTGTTGCCTAGCATGTGATTTTTATCCTCTCCAAAGTATCTTCGCGTCCGTAAAATACCTATAGCAAGCAGATACTAGTTGATTCACGAAAAATCAGAATCAAGAATAGCAATATATAAGAACTTACAAATTTATTTAAACACAAGAAAAGATCTAATTATTAGATTTAAAAATGTTACATTCTCGTCTTTTATTAATAATTTTTCAAAATAATCTTAATGAAAACAGATACTGTTTAAATTACTTTTTTCGTCTAACAAAGAAGTTTTACCATTTTTTTCTCAATTTTGCTTCTAACTTTATTTAAAAGATACAATTTTTGAAAAGATATGCATCAATCTAATATTACTATTTAGTAAAATTTTTTATAAGCTTACTTTTACAGAATTATTGCAAGCATGCAAATGTTGCAAAATCTCAGTTATTATTTGTCCCTGCGCAGAACTGTCTTCTTTTCTCATAGCACGGTCTACGAGTTTCACTATGTTTCTGTAGAAATGAGTTATAAAGTGCTGAAGATATTCACTATGGGTCTCAGGATCCAGACCCTCTCTTCCGATCCATTCCACTGTGTATCTACATAATGTTTTTCATATGAAATATTCGTTAACGAAATTGCTCATCTTGTTATATTACCTCTGCAAATTTGTACTCTCGATTTTATTCGGTAGTCGCTCGTCTCTCAGGTCAGCTAATAATTTAGAGGCTTCATTGTCCAAACTTCTATTAGCTATATCCAAGAACAGGTTGGCCTTCCTCAGATTTTGAAGATTAATGTTATTTATATATCGCACATACGCCAGGCAATGGTTTTTTGTATTTTTCACATTTAGCACGCCATTAATTACTTCTCGTTCAGTCACTGTTTCGAAATTGATTTTGCATGAGTCCATTATAAAGAAAAATATATCTACACCTTAATATCAATGTAATGTCTCGATAATAGTTTTAATTATTATTAAAGAAAAGCAATTTTCATATAATATTTCAAATGCAATATGTTTAGTATTCCAAAAATATGCTAAAAATGTTTCTATAAATTTAAAATTGTATATATATATATATATATATATATATATATATATGTGTATATATATATATATATATATATATATAATTAATTTATCGATAATTGATATAAAGTCAGTTGTTTTTTGTTACATTAATTTGTATATATTAAATCTTTCTAACACACCAGACATGAAATAGTTGTGCATCGTATCCTTATCAAATTTTCCATTATTAAATAAGGATTGCGCGCCTTTTCTGAACAATTTTTGCATTTTGCACATGGTATCCCACCAGATCGCTTGATCCTCTTGTTGCAACTTAGGTATTCTCTTAAAAGTGCACAAACAAAAAATATATAAGTGTAAAAAAGAAATAATTACATAACAATTAATTTGATACGCATACTACGTATTATTTAAAAGAACATAATTATTAAATATTCTTGAAAGTTGTTTACTTTATTGTTAAAATTTTTAAGGATAGACGAAATCGGTTGCAATATACTCGTAGGTGGTACAGCATTACTATCTTTTTTGTACCACCTGTCCAAAACACTAACGTCCATCCCTTGACCATCCAATTCTGTCCTCAACATCTCTAGCTCCGAACTAAGAACATAAGTCGGTATAGGACGGTATCCATATTTTTGTCCAAGGAATACCTGTACAAAGACATTCATTACTTGTAAGAATTAAGAATCTTAATTTTAAAAAATTTAAAAATTCAACTCTCTACTGTTGAGTTTTGTAATTCTAAAATCACAACAGCATATTGAACTTTATTCTATATCTGCAGAAATATAGCTTTATTAAACGTTTTTTAAAACAAATTGCACAATAAAAAATTAAATAGCTGAAGAGCAACACTATTCTATTTTACTTACAACGAAATTGGGTCCCATAGACAATCTCTGACAATTTTCTATTTCTCTCATACACAGCTCTGTAGTCATGTGATCATCGGTGGCTTCATCGCGTACACCCCATCTCATATCAACCACCTGCAGAAGAAAGTTTAACCATTATGTAAGATAAATTTTTATTTCTCTATTTTAAAATATAATAATGCAATGTTTTAAATTTACATTAATAATGAAATGTGAAAGAAAAACTATTTATTACAATTAATAAAGTAAAACAAAATACAATTTATGCAAATTTAGCTAACAATTAGTAAAAATGTATAATGTATAATCTAAACATAGTTATCAAATTTTAACTTTATTTTTATCAAAGATCAATACCAAAAAGTTGAATTATATATATATATATATATATATATATATATATATATATATATATATATAACTAATACCTAGTACCATAAAAATCAATTTTTCTGTCAGGATATATGACTCATATTTTACTACATCTATATATAATATATACCTATATGTATGTACAACTTTCTTTTATCTATATATTTATATATTTGTGTCAAATCTTACTTGAAATTCTAAGCCGTGCTTTTCTCTACAGTAATCCTTAAGTTTGGGATAACATTGAGCCATCAAAGTATTTCTTTCCATTGTTGTGTCTAAAATATATAAATATATTATATATATAATATATATATATATATATATATATATATATATATATATATTGTAATTTAATGTCTACTTTATCATATGTCTTTTTCATTTTTAATATTATATTTTTTATTATTTTTATTTTACTGTTTCTCTCTTATTGCAATTATTAAAAATAACTTACCAGTAAAAGTCGAACTTGTAAATATCCGCACAATTTTTGAACTGACGGGTGGTAGAGACTTTAAAGAACCCGAAAAGATTGAATCAATTGTTGCTTCATCCATGTTTTTTGTCTCTTAATGCACCTTTTTTATCGTAAATTCTGAGTTGAAAATTTAATGCACTCAAGATCTTGTCGCCTGTAACAATATCAATAAACTGACAATGAGATCAGCATTACGTTGCCAATGTCTTATACATGTATAATAAAAATATAGTATCTTGAATTTATTGACATTTTTGTTTGAGTGTTTTATTTTACAGAAATCTTGCATTATTTATCTGTTATAAAGTCTACGTTATTTTTATACATTGTATTTCTACGTCAAGTTGCAAATTACACAAAACATTTTCTTTTTAAAATGATATATAATATTCTGTGTGCAAACGAAAAAGATTTCTAGCATATTGCGCAAAGTGGTTGCTAAGGCTACTTATTTACACTGTATAGAAGGAGCTATTGATTTTAAAACATGTATGTTTCTTCAAATAATTTAACATGACAAAGAAATATAATATAAAATGTTTGCTGTATTAAATAAATTATTTAACACTTAAATTATGAATACATTTGATGTAAAATGTATATTATTTTTTATAATTTTTCTTTGTCTTAAATATTTAAGAATTGAAAGAACAGAAACAAACACTCTATCTCTGTCTATTTATGCTTTAATTTTAAATAGTCTTGCACAATTTTACGTATATTGTATATTTGATTTCTATATAGATTTTCTACATATAATGGACTGTTTATAGTGCTTACCGAGGATCTATTGAAACATTCAAAATGGCATCTGATCCACAAGCAATGACACAAATGAACACGTATCGTTCATATGTGACTATGCTGGCTGATCCAGTTTCAAAGGACGAATTAAAATTGAAGGCAGCCCAAGAATTGTCGGAAAATTTTGAGGTGACTAAAACAAACTGTCTCATTAAAAATTTGTTTATCTACCTACGATAATTAATTTTAACTTGATCTTTGTTGAGGAAAATAATGCGGATTTAAAAATTATTTTACGCAGATCATTATGTGTTCATCACAATATCCGGCATTTCTCGAACATATGATGAAGATTTTCCTGAAGATATTGCAAGAAGGAGAGCCACATTTCATATCGGAGTACAATATTCAACAAGTCCGAAAGCTGATTTTGGAAATGATACACAGATTACCGAGCAATGAACACTTACGTTCATATGTCAGGCAAATCTTGACTCTCATGTCCAAATTATTAGAAACAGATAATGAAGAAAATGTTTTAGTATGTTTACGCATTATTATTGAACTGCATAAGCAGTATAAGCCGACATTTAATCCAGAAGTGAGTGTGATATTTTTTTCTCTTTTGTAACTCTGCATTTCTAAATTAGTTTCAACGTTAACAATATTTTCTTTTGTTTTTAGATACAATATTTTCTGCAATTTGTCAAATCTGTGTACAGTGAATTACCAAAAAATTTATCAAAAATATTCGAACCACGTCCTCCTCTACGAGTGAAAGATTTGTCAGAAATCAACATAGAAGCCCTTTTGAAAGAAACTTTCACTATTACAGCGATACAAAGCGAAAAAAAAGCAGCCGATGGTACTGTTGTAACAGTAAGCATATATTACTTTTATTTATTTAATATTAAATTTATTATCTTATTTTATATTATATATAGCATAATTAAATAACATATATTTATATAAAATTAAATAAAAGTAAAAATTAATTAAGATATATTCTATTTTCAGTACAATTTGATTCCGAAAGCAGTACTATCCCTCAAAGTGCTTCAAGAATTGCCGATAATTGTAGTACTAATGAATCAATTATATAAACAAAATGTACATCAAGACGTATCGGATTTCGTTCCGATCGTAATAACAACTATATCACTTCAACCGAGTCCTCAACATCGAGCATCTCCCGGATTCAACAAGGAGGTTTTCGTCGATTTTATGGGCGCTCAAGTGAAAACATTGTCTTTTCTAGCATACGTCATAAGAGTGTACCAAGATGTAATATCCCAAAACAGCATGATGTTGGTCAAAGGCATTCTAGGTTTGTTCACGCTATGTCCCATGGAAGTAGCTCATCTGCGCAAAGAACTAGTAATCGCCTCTCGCCACATACTCGCGACAGATCTACGAAATCAATTTATTCCGCACATGGAGATCTTCTTCAACGAAGATATTTTTATCGGTCATGGTTGGACAGCTCACGAAGCTCTCAGACCACTAGCTTATTCTACGCTTGCTGATTTGGTTCATCATGTCAGATTACAATTACCTCTGAGTGATGTCTCTAGAGCAGTGCACCTTTATGGCAAGAATCTTCTCGATCAAACTTTACCCACGGCTGTTCAGATGGTCTCTTGCAAGCTACTAATGAATTTAGTAGATACGGTTAGGCAAAGATCGGATGCTGAAAACAGCACTCAAGGCCGAGAATTATTGATGCGTATACTGTTGGTGTTTGTTTTGAAATTTAAGACCATATCCAAAATCTATATACCGATTCTGCGAAACAAAGCGAAACAATTACGGCCTGCTCCAGTGGAAAATACAACTGAGGATGCAACAAAACCGTGTATCGACGTAAACGAGGAAAAAGAGGCACCAAAATCAAAGTTTGGTTTTCCGACCTCGCAAGCAATGAGTTACAATGTAGCGGATTATAGAAACCTCGTGAAAAGTCTTGTGCATGGTGCTAAAGCAATAACATCTAACTGCATTAGCAGAGGCGGTGATGTAGTAACGCAGTCTAATCAACTTCAACCAAAGGAAACTCTGATTTACATACAACTCGTTAAATGGGCGTTACCAGCTTTAGATATTTACACGATAGGACCACCCATAATCGGTGCTCCCGTACAACCAGGCAGAGCGCCACAATCTCAAACCATACGAACAAGAGAAGAAAAGGAGGTATTGGAGCTCTTTGGCAACGTGTTTACTCAAATGAATCCCCAAACATTTCAAGAGATATTTTCCATGACCATAGATTATATGGTCGAGAGAATCTTCAAGAATTGTGCTTTGCAAATTATCGGAAGTGCCTTTTTGTCCAGCCATACGATCTCGTCGACATTCGCTACCATATTAGTGGAATATTTGTTAGAGCGAATGAGCGATATGGGTTCCAACGTGGAACGCAGTAATCTGTACTTAAGACTGTTTAAACTCGTTTTTGGCAGTGTCTCACTCTTTCCGGCTGAAAATGAACACATGTTACGACCACACTTAAATTTAATTGTTAATCGCGCTATGGAGCTCGCCATGTCGGCAAAAGAACCGTACAACTACTTTTTATTGTTGCGTGCGTTGTTCAGATCCATTGGTGGCGGATCTCATGATTTATTATATCAGGAATTTTTACCCTTGCTGCCTAACATGTTGGAGGGACTAAACAGACTGCAATCTGGTTTACACAGGCAGCATATGAAAGATCTCTTTGTCGAATTGTGTTTAACCGTACCGGTGCGTCTTAGTTCGCTTTTGCCATATCTTCCCATGTTAATGGATCCTTTAGTTTCCGCTCTCAATGGAAGTTACTGTTTAGTAAGCCAAGGTCTTCGTACTCTTGAGTTATGTGTCGACAATTTGCAACCAGACTTCTTATATGAGCACATACAACCGATTCGTGCAGAATTGATGCAAGCTTTGTGGAGAACATTACACAATTCTACCGATCAAGCTCACGTAGCCTTTCGTGTTCTCGGAAAATTTGGCGGTGGAAATCGAAGAATGATGATCGAGCCTCAGAAACTGGAATACAACGATCGTGAGACCAGTTCACCTAACGTGATAGTTTACTTCGAGGGAGTTTCCCAGCCGATCGAGTTCCCGATGGAAAAGGTGATTGAGGCTGCATTCAATGCATTAAAATCTTCTATGTTGATTTCTGACAAATCCAGTACGACGGATCTATTTTATCGAAAACAATGCTGGGAAGTCATATACTGTTACTTGACTGCGTCTATGAAATTGGATGACACCGCTCATCTATGGAACAAATTGTTTACGCACCCGAGTTTTAAAGAGGGCGAGATACCGCATCAACAGGGACCTCACTACAAATGCTCTGACACTGTAGCGCGAAACGTTCAGCAAACCGCGCTAACCGGTATGTTTATCGCTGCCGAAATCAAGGATCTACGACCATCGGTACTTGATACTGTCGTTTCCGTCGTGAGACACTACACGATGATTGCCATAGCGCAACAGGCAGGTATCTTCAGCTGGACGGATCGAGAAGTTCGCAAGAACACACAAGGACAGGACCCACTTGTGTTGATCGATGCCCTCGCCGTTATAATGGCTCACGATGAAAGAGAACTATATAAAGCGGGATATTTGACACTTGTATTAATATTAGAAACAGCGACGAACATTCTAGGTTCCAAAGAACGAGCTTGCCAATTGCCTTTCATGGAATATCTGGCGGAGAGAATGTGCTCACTGTGCTATGAGCGAGCTTGGTATGCTAAATTAGGTGGATGCATAGCAATTAAGTTTTTGTTCGAGCGAATGGCTACTAAATGGGTTCTCAATCATCTGTTTGTCTTTCTCAAGGCTCTTGTATTCGTGATGATGGATCTAACCGATGAAGTTTCCAATGGTGCTATTGACATGGCAAAGGAGAATCTGGAAAAGATGTTACGAGTTTGTGTTAATCCTGGTATTCAAGAAGGCAATGCAGAATTGATAGAAGCACAAAATAAAAGCTTATACGAGGTCACTCGCGAACTAGTGAAACAAGTAACGTCGCCGCACACGATTGTTCGAGAACAGGCCATGGCCTCGTTGCGTCAGCTGGCCGAGATACAGAACAAATCGGTAACAGAGGTGATGGAACCGCACAAAAAGGTTTTAGCAGACATGATACCACCCAAGAAACACCTCTTGAAACATCAGCCTGTTAATGCACAGATTGGCTTAATGGATGGTAATACATTTTGCACCACCTTGAATCCACGTCTCTTCACCATAGATTTAAACATACACGAGCACAAGGTATTCTTCAATGAGCTGTTAAGTATCTGCGAGTCGGACGAGGCCAATTTCAATAAACTGGCTTGTTACAAATCAATTTCAAATCTTATGCCTCTACGGAAATCGGCACTACGAGCGCTCGCAACCTGCCATTACATCGTTGCTTGTCGAGAGAGAATATTCTCCGTTCTTTACAAAACTTTAGAAAAATCTAACGCCGAACTCCAGGAAGCGGCCTACGAGTGCATGAAAATGTTTATTGCCGGTTTTCAGATCGACATGGAATCAGTTCATACGATAATACGACCGATGCTCCTGACACTGGGTGATCACAGGAATCTCAGCTTGAACTGCGTTAGAAGATTATTATATTTAACGCAATTGTTTCCTAGTACTTTTAGTGTTACTCTATGTGAACAATTGTTGCAACATTTGAGAAAATTGTTAGAAAATCTGATTCAATCTCACAAAGGTATATCAAAATCCGGTGAGAATGAGCAAAAAATCACCACGATTATAGGAATATTTCACGAAGTCCCGACGGCGTCTTCTAAGTTTATTGACATACTTTGTAGACTTGTGCTGCAAACTGAAAAATCACTACTAGTCGAGGTATCCAGTCCCTTTAGGATACCTTTGATGAAATTTCTTCTACGTTATCCGTCAGAAACGCTGACTCTATTTTTGCAAGACAATAATATCAAAGATCAGCAGTGGAGCAGATACCTGGAATATCTTATTAGACACAAGGACGCTAAACCATTCCGAGATATTTTGCACAGCAGTACGTCGCGACTTGTCACGATGCTGCTCGCTCACTCGCAAACAAATTCTAATTTGACTCACATGGAGAAAAGTGAATTGCAATATCGAGCGATTAAGATTATCGGCATACTTATCAAATTCGACGAACAATGGCTATCTACGCAGAGTCAATTGATAGGAGCGTTAAATCAGATCTGGTGTAACGACGACTATCAGGCGTTACACAAGAAGGTCGAGAGCGTTGAATACTGCCATTGGAAGGAGCCGAAGCATATCGTCAAGATTCTATTACATTATTTCCGTCACCAACCGAACGACATTGATCTACTATTCCAATTGCTGCGTGCCACGTGTGCCCGGTTTGTACCTGATTTTCAGTTTCTTAGAGATTTTTTAGAAAACACGGTAGCCCAAGAATATACAGTCGAGTGGAAGCGAAGCGCTTTCTTCCGTTTCGTCGAACATTTTCCTACGAATGACATGTCGCAAGAGTTGAAAGCCAATGTCTTACAACTGATCATCATTCCGTGTTTTGCGGTAAGCTTTGAAAGAGGCGAGGGTACTAAACTGGTCGGAGGTGCGCCCATGCCTTATCAAGACAACCCGGAGAACGTCGTCTCGGTATTTATCAGCAAGATCATCGATCCAGACAATCCTTTTGGTTTTGCTGATTGCGTTCGCATTTCTCTGTTACAATTCTCCTGTCTTCTGGTGGAACAAGCGTCACAACACATTCACGATGTGACAAATAAAAGACAAGGAAATAAGTTACGTCGCTTAATGACGTTCGCTTGGCCTTGCTTGTTGGGCAAAAATTGCGTAGATCCAACGACTAGATATCATGGTCATCTTCTTCTCAGTCACATAATAGCTAAATTTGCTATTCACAAACGCATAGTCTTACAAGTATTCCACAGTTTATTGAAAGCTCATGCCGTCGACGCGCGTAATGTTGTGCGACAGGCGCTGGAAATATTAACCCCCGCGATGCCTGTACGGATGGAAGATGGTAATACTATGCTGACACACTGGACGAAAAAGATCATCGTAGAAGAGGGTCATTCTATGCAGCAATTATTCCATATTTTGCAATTAGTTGTAAGACATTATAAAGTTTATTATCCAGTCAGGCATCATTTAGTACAACATATAGTGAACTCGATTCAACGTATGGGATTCAGTCCCACTGCCACCATCGAACATAGAAGACTTGCCGTTGAGCTTGCAGAAGTTATTGTAAAGTGGGAGTTATATAGGATCAAGGAGGAAGCTGAAGCTGCGGAGTCGAGCAGCAATAAAGGGATCGTGCAACCATCGAGCTCGAACAAACGACCGATCACCGAAGACCCGACAGGAAAACGCCTGAGCTTGCAGACAACATCCTCCGGCAACAGTCCTGTGCCTCTCATTTTACCTAGAATGGAACCAGGATCCGCAAAACCTATCGAAAGAGCTCACGCTGATGCGGTTCTAAATTTCCTGCTTCGTTTGGCGTGTCAAGTCAACGATGTGACGACAATCCACGGTAATCCAGGCGAGCAACTGTCCAGACGCTGCGTCTCTCTGTTGAAGATGGCTCTAAAGCCCGATGTGTGGGTTGCAGAACAATGTGATCTTAAACTAGCTTGGCTCGACAAAGTTCTCGTCAGCGTAGACGGCGCTCAACCTAATTTTGGTAATATCAGCACGGCGTTGGAAGTACTGACGTTTTTGCTAGGCGTGATGAAGCGCGAACAGATACTCGCAAGCTTTAAGCCACTGCAGCGTGGGATAGGCGCCTGCATTGCCCACAACAATACTAAAGTCATACGTCTGGTGCACGGTTTGCTTTCGCGACTGATGACGATTTTCCCAGCTGAACCGACCTCTTCGAACGTAGCCTCCAAATACGAGGAGCTTGACACACTATACACAACCGTGGGTAGATTTATAGCGGAAGGACTGGCCACTTACGAGAAGACCACAACGGCTGTACCCAGTTCGCTGTTTGGCACACTCATGATGCTTAAAGCTGCCTGCACGAATAATCCTAATTATATCGACCGATTGATAACACCGTTTATGAGGGTATTGCACAGGATGGCCAAGGAACACTTACATCCGGCGCAAACTGAAGCTAATCCCGTGACGAGCGAACTGCTGATCCTCAGTCTCGATTTGGTGAAGAATCGTGTGGTAGTGATGGGTGTCGAGATGCGCAAATCATTCATAGGGACAATCCTGGTCGGTTTGATCGAAAAAACACAAGATGTCAAGGTAATGAAAGCCATTACGAAAATATTGGAGGAGTGGATGAAGAATAAAACCACCATCGCTATTAATCAAGCGCCCAGTTTACGCGAAAAATCTATATTATTGGTAAAAATGATGCAGTATGTCGAGAAACGCTTTCCCGATGATTTGGAGTTGAATAAACAATTCTTGGAGTTAGTTAATTACGTTTATCGCGACGAGAGTCTGAAATTGACAGAATTATCTCAAAAATTGGAACCGGCCTTTCTCGCCGGTCTACGCTGCGTACAACCGCAAGTGAGGGCCAAATTCTTCGAGGTATTCGACGGATCAATGAAGAGACTTCTACCCGATCGTCTTCTATACATCATTATCAGCCAGAATTGGGAACATATAGGACCTCACTATTGGATCAAACAGTGCATCGAGCTGCTACTGGCTACCGTCAATTCAACGATTCAGATACAAATGATCAACGAGAAACTCTTACTGCCCAGCATCACGTTAATTATGCAAGAGGGCATGGAAAAGGATAGCAAGGAACAAACGCTCTTTGCCTGTCACCTCGATCATCCTGGCGAAGAGCCGCAAGATATCGAAATGACCGATAAAGACACGAAGGAAACAATCGAGATGGACGCCTGGATGTCCAATCTGTCAGAATCAACCGCTACGACCACCGAGGAGATTACCGAGAAACTTGATCTTTTGGGAATGGTAAATAAACAGGTTCGTTTCATGGAGAACGCGAAGAAGATCAGAACGGAACAATTGCTGTTGGCAACCGCGCAACTGTGCCACATGGACACGAATTTAGCGGAGCGTGTCTGGTTGGACATGTTTCCACGAATATGGGGCATCTTGGACGAGGTTTATCTCAGATCCGTGATGGCGGAAATGCCGCCGTTCGTCGCCAGCGGGTCGCACGTCATCCAGAAGGACTGTCATCCCAGTGCGCTCGGCACCTTCTTAGAGGCATTAGCACACTGCGATCCACCGGTGACTATAGCGCCACCGGTGATGAAATATCTGGGCAAGTCGCACAACGTTTGGCACCGGATAACGCTGAGTCTGGAACAGCTTGCAGCCGAGATGGCGGATATTAATTTAGCTGGTAACCAGGCGAAGATCAAATGCGAACCCGATTTGTATCGTGACGACGCCGAGCAGACCGAATATCTCGGTCCCTATTACGAAATAGTGGATATGCTTTCGTCGATGTACTCGTTGCTGTGTGAGGAAGATATGTGGTCGGGTCTCTGGCAGAAGAGACCCGCGTATTACAAGGAAACACTACACGCGATTGCACTGGAACAACAAGGATTCTTCGAACAGGCTCAAGGAGCGTACGAGGTGTGCTTCAGCAAGTATCGGCAGGACTTTGCGTCCGGCTCGGCGCCTTATCTTCTCAACCAGGAAGTACTTCTCTGGGAGCGTCATTGGGAGCGTACCGCGAAGGAGATGAATCAATGGGAGATTTTGTTGGAATTGGGCAGCCATAACAACTATAAGAATCCCTTCCTCGTTTTAGAGAGCGCGTGGCGCATTCCCAATTGGCCAGTGATGAAGGAGATTCTCGGGCAGGTGGAGCATAATTGCCCGAGAGAAATGGCCTGGAAGGTATATAAATCTATGTAACAATTTTTCTATTCATAAAAAAAGAAATAAATGTTTTGCGCACTTGTACTTAATTTTATACTTTAATTAATTTTGACTATATTTTTGCAGATTAATTTGTATCGCGGATTCTTAGCTTTATGCAGCAACGAAGATCAACATCTTAGCAATGTAGAGCGATACGTCGAACTCGCGTCGGGTCTGTGTATGCGCGAATGGCGTCGACTTCCTCACATTGTCAGCCACGTCCATCAGCCGCTGTTGCAGGCAGCCCAACAGATAATGGAACTGCAGGAAGCGATGCAGATCCATCAGGGACTTTCACACGGCAGGAGCACTTCGTTACACGATATGAAAGCTATCGTGAAAACGTGGCGCAACCGATTGCCTGTGATAGCTGATGACTTGAGTCATTGGTCGGATATCTTTACTTGGCGACAACATCATTACACCTTCATTTCCAATCACTACGATTCTCAACAGGATCAAACGGCCAATCACTCATTACTAGGTGTACACGCTTCTATGCAGGCCATTATTCACTTCGGCAAGATTGCGAGAAAGCAAAATCTCTGCGGAGTATGTTTGGACTCGTTGGTCAAGATCTATTCGATTCCCACGAGCGTACCTATGATAGATTGTTTCCAAAAAATCAGACAACAAGTGAAGTGTTATCTGCAGATGGCCACCATGGGCGGGCAGACCGAATTACAAGAGGGTTTGGATATGCTCGAGTCAACGAACATGAGCTACTTTACCAAGGAGATGATTGCTGAATTTTACGCATGGAAAGGTTTACTTCAGTCGCAGCTCGGCCGCTCGGACGACGCCAATAAAAGCTTCTCCGCCGCGGTCCAGCTTCACGACACTCTGGTCAAAGCTTGGTCTTTGTGGGGTGATTACCTTGAAAACATCTTTATACGCGACGCGCGTCAAATTAGCATCGGCATAAGCGCCCTCGTTTGCTATTTGCATGCGTGCCGTCACCAGAACGAATCCAAATCCAGAAAGTATATTGCTAAAATTCTCTGGCTGCTTACATATGATGACGACAAGTCATCTCTAATGGAGACCGTGGATAAATATGCCGTTGGCGTACCAGCAATTCAGTGGTTACCCTGGGTACCGCAATTATTGATGTACTTGGTACGCCATGAGAATAATATAATTCTGAATTTGCTCAGTCAGGTAGGTCGCATGTTCCCGCAAGCGGTTTACTTTTCTATACGCACTCTTTACCTGACTCTGAAGAGAGAACAGCTAGAGCAAATGGAAAGGTATAAGAGCGGTGAACTAGCAGCGAATAAGAGCCAAGACGGCGTGGACGATCGAGGTCTTAATGTAACGGGAAATATGCCACCACAACAAGGAGTATCAGAAACAAGTCATACAGTACCTATGGCCCGGGCAACTCCGCCCATGTGGAGATGCTCAAAAATTATGCACTTGCAAAGAGACATTCATCCAACTGTTCTGTCTAGCTTAGAGGGTATAGTCGATCAGGTTGGTTTTTTTAATAAATTATAGTAAGAGATATAATAAAAAAATATACAATTTTTCAGAAAGATGTTTATTTTATTGATTTAATATTTTGATTTTTTATAGCTTTATATGAATCTTTTTTTATTTTAATAAAGAATTCACTCGAAATTTAAAGTTTCATAATTAAATATAGTTAGGATTAATGTGAATTTGTTCTTACTAAGATATTTGATATTTTGAAATCTTGTCCCGTATAAAGAAAACATAATTTATATTTTAGATGGTATGCTTCCGTGAAACATGGTATGAAGAGGTTTTAAGACAATTAAGACAAGGACTTGCAAAATGTTACGCAATAGCATTCGAGAATCGTGGAGCTGTTAGTGAAGCAACAATAACTCCGCATACTCTCAATTTTGTAAAGAAACTGGTATCGACCTTTGGCACTGGAATTGGTAAATTCATTTCTCTATTAATCATAAATGATTGATTGGACAAAAGAAGAGATCTTTTTCTAAATATTGCATTTTACGATTTACAGAAAACGATTTGCAGAACGATTTACAGAAAATCTCGTCCTCGCAAAATATGAGTAATTCTGCAGGATCAGAATCCTTAGCTCGTAGAGCTCAAGCCACTGTACAAGATCCCGTTTTTCACAAGATGAAAGGCCAGTTCACAAGTGACTTTGACTTTACCGTACCTGGAGCAAGATTACTGCACAATCTTATCAGCAAATTGAAAAATGGATAAAGATTCTGGAAGAAAAAACGAAACAATTACCAAAGTAATTTATATTTTAATTATCTTGCAATGCACATGATTCGTTGAATTCGAATTATATTCAGATATGTAAATATATATACAAACTTACATATTTTTGCAGATCTTTCTTAATCGAGGAGTGTCGTTTCTTGAGTAACTTTAGTTTGAAAACTGCGGAAGTTGAATTGCCTGGTGAATTTCTGATACCTAGAGTAAGAGATTTAGTTAAACTTTCCTAAAATTTTCTATTCTAAATTGACGTACAATAAGATATGATTTCACAAATAAATATTTTTATTCTGCGTGTTCTAAAAATAATATGAATTGACGTAGAAAATATTGAGAATAGAAAGTTTATTCCTAAAAATTAGAAATTATATATAATATATAATACATCACATACTTATAATTTTATATTTATATTTTTGTTCAAGAATACGATAAAAACTTTCGAGATGAAATGAAAAACATCCTTAGTTTGTTAATATTTTTATAAATTTTTTTCAGCATTCGCATTATTCCGTAAAGATAGCCCGATTTATGCCATGCGTCGAGGTCGTTCAACGACACAACACAGCAGCCAGGAGATTACGTATTCGCGGCCACAATGGTCGTCTTTATCCTTATCTGGTGGTGAACGATGCCGGTCTAGGAGACGCCAGGCGCGAAGAACGACTTTTACAATTGCTGCGAATGTTGAATCACTATTTGACCAAACAGAAAGAGACGTCGCGAAGATTCTTACACTTCACGGTACCACGACTTGTCGCTGTTTCCCCTCAAATGAGACTCGTCGAGGACAATCCGGCAGCCATTTCTCTCTTGGACATTTACAAGCAAAGCTGCGTCAACTTAAAAATGGAACACGACGCACCGATCGCTAGATATTACGAAAAATTAGCTGCTGTACAAGCAAGAGGCACACAAGCCAGTCATCAAGTGCTGCGAGATATTTTGAAGGAAGTGCAATCCTCAATGGTTGCGAAAACTATGCTCAAGGATTGGGCTATAAAGACATTCCCCGGCGCCACCGATTACTGGACATTCAGAAAAATGGTCCGTATTTTAAAACAATGGCTTAAAAGCATATTGCAAGTTTTAATCCATTTTTTAATTAATTTTGTAATTTTTGTATTGCATAGATACTGTAATAAGCTATATACATTGCTTAAGTCATCTTGTTTTCTATGTTACAATTTCATCGTAATTAATACAAAAATTAAAACTTTAAATTAATAACAGATTATGTTTTCTAGGTACACAAGGTTTAACACTATTCATTTATCTAGATGCAAAAAAAAAGATAAAAACTTATTCTTTTCAATATTATAATTGATACAAAAAAGAAAGAAAAAAAGAATATATTTGAGCTACAAAAAATAGAAAAAATAACTGTTAAAAGAATTTAGCCACTGATACAAGATTACAACTATTACAGATATTATATAATATATTTATCATATCTCTTTTTTGTTTTCAGTTCACATTGCAGCTATCTCTGACTTGTTTTGCCGAGTATGTGCTTCACTTAACGCGACTCAATCCCGACATGATGTACGTGCATCAGGATTCTGGCCTGATCAACATCGCATATTTCAAATTCGACATTGATGATACTTCCGGAGAGTTGGACGCGAACAGACCAGTACCTTTCCGTTTAACGCCCAATATCCTCGAATTTCTCACAACTACAGGTACAGTCGTATATCAATCTATTCTTCTCATCGCAATGAGAGATATTTAGACAAAGTATCATCTTTCTTATTCAAACATTTGCATTTATAAAAAAAATACTTCTTATAAGTCCTATAAACCCATTAATATGAAGAAATTCCTAGCAAGTGTACGTCATTTTGATATTTAATGACGTCAGTTTGCTACTTGGGTTGTTAAATTCTGAGGGAAAATTAATTCACAATTAATAATTTGCAGGAATCTGCGGACCATTGACTGCCAGCGCGATCGCCACGGCACGCTGTTTGGTTCAACCCACCTTCCAACTGCAAGCGATACTTCGCGCGATTCTGCGGGATGAGGTGATCGCGGATCATAAGCAGCAGGAAGACGCAGAGGGTGCGTCGCAGGCACCCACCGATCTGAAGGGCGAGCTCTTGATAGCGATGGTGACCCGCGCGGTTACCGCAATCGTCACCAGGCTGAATTCCCTGGCGAATTTTGACGGTATCGACAGTAAAGTCAGCACCCTGGTTGCTGCCGCCAACAGTCACGATAATCTCTGTAGAATGGATCCCTCGTGGCATCCATGGTTGTAAGATCAAGTACATCCGGCCTTTCAAAAATTTCGTACTGCCAACGAAAAGGAACGATTGTTGTCGTATATATTTTTTTGTTTTTATTATTAAGAAATACTTTTCTTTTAATAGTTTTTACCTGTTTGGCACAGTATAATCATAACCACTGTCTTTCTTTGAGTGGAAAGTTATTAGAAAGTAGGAAAATATAAAAATAATTCGAAGATAAATTTGAAGATAAAAAATACTATTTATAATATATAATAAAATAATACTGCGCTATCAATATATTATTAAACGACATGTACAGTGTCATAAGACGAAACTATAAATTATGAATTTTATATATTTCAATGATCACTTCTCTCAGCATGTATATTTATTACATTATCTGTAGATTCGTTTGCACAAAAAAACATAACATTTAAGTGTAATATAAAATTCCTCAAATTTCTTTAGCATATTGATTAGCTGTATGTATAAGCTTTATTTTAAATATATAATTTGTATAGATGTAGTAAAAAAATTTGAGTGAAGTGAAAAATAAAACTAATGCGTAAATTTTTATTCATTATAATAATTTTTGACCATTCAAAACTATATATTAAATGTAATGAAGATTTTTTTCAAAAAGAATAAAAGCGATTTTTTAAAAATATATTTACAGTTTCTATAAAGACCTTCTATACATATCTGTAAAATGAAAATATGTAAATTCGAAAACTCACTCTTTTAGAAGTTTCAGAAAATTCATGCATAAATATAGATTTTCTTATAATAAATTGTAGTATATCACATATTAAATAGGTTAAAACTTATATATAAAATAACAAAAAATTATGCTTACATAGTATTTATTTACAAAAATACAACTCTTATCATATTTCTAGTATAAATTTTATTGAGTTAAATGCATTCTAGCAATTCTTTATTACATTATTGCATCATAAAATTTTAAATTATCACAATTAGAAAAATTTTAATAAGGATTTATTTTCTTCACTAACTAGATACATTTGTATATACTTTGGCAACTAAATGTGATAAATGAAGAATCTATAGTAAAATAATGACAAATCTATAATTTTGTTTGTTACCAATTTACCTTTGATTTCATATTTTGATACAGCTTATAAATTATAATAAACTTATCACATTTCTGAAGTGTTCTAATGTATTAGAATATTTACATTTTTAATAACGCAGTTGTCACACACATCCACAAAGACATTTCTCAAACGCTTAGTGTATTTTATCACATACAATTGCTTTGCTAAAACACAGAATTGAGGATAAGAAAAATACTATATATATATATATATATATATATATATATATATATATATATATATATATATATATATATATATATACACATATATAGTATCATTTCTGAGCAAAATAAAATCACATTTAGAAAAACATGCATCCCGCTTTAGATCAAACAGCTATATGTTTATTTTGTAGGCTTCAAATTAATATTCCGCAACATGCACAAGTCTCGTGCAGTTGCCATGCGACCAATTACGGTTTGTATATCGTATAATCGTAGTAGAATATCAGTCGTGAACAACTCAGGTAATGCTTTGAGAAGACATGGTACCTAAAAATGAAAATACAAAACTTACTAATGTAATATGATAATTTTATACCATAATTTATTATTTATATTAAATTAATTTATTATTAAAATTAAATATTTAGAACAAAGGATAAAAAATCTAATCTATTACTATTACACGAATTCATTGTATAATGTACCAGAGTTTGCGGCATTCCCTGTAACACGATACGAGTTCTGTCTTTTCCGCATTGTACTATAAATCGTAGGAACTGAAATATAAAATGAGTCTGCTGGCACACCTCGCCATCTCTACCAGCTAGAAAAGCAAACATGGTGAATAGATTATTCAACGCAGTCATGAGCGGATCTCTCAAAACAACCATAGATTTTTGTCCGTTATTTGAACCCTGCGCCTGTGGACTCTGCGACCCGAACATGGGAACACTCTCACCTCCCTCATTTAATCGCAAGAGCTTATTAGACATGCCTAACGGGTCTAATTCGTCCGCGTCCAAATCACGTCGCACACGCTTGCGACTGTTACTTCGATATGGATTCGAGTTATTGTACTCCAAAGTGGAAAATATACAATACACACATAATTTTGCCAGGATAGACGACTGTGGTTCTACAAGCTCATCGCTCCTACATAAAACAAACGAATATTTTATTCAAATATATATGAAAAATGTAATAATAATGTGATGAACTTACTGTAACGAATTGTCCAAGTATTGCGGTATTATGTGATTTATAAGATCTAGAGTGCAATTCTCTATATCAAGATGGAAGATGGCAAAAGCCAGATCTACAGCCTGATCCAATTCTTCTTGATAACGATATTTCAGTACTTCTTTAATTATATTCGTAACAAACCATAAAGAACCACCGGTATTTAACAGAGACTCTAGCGATTGTGTGGCTTGTATATTTATCCATCCACATTGATTTATGTTCTGCCAAACGGATTCCAATTGCTCCAATATTGGTTGTCGTGATATAATACTGCACATACAAACAAATCATAAACATCTCAAAGATAATAAAAAGAATTTATTTTTAAAGGTATCATTATATAAAATATTGTACCTGTGAGACATCGAGAGAACTTTTGTTTTCGACTGTGTGGGCGGATGTACGTCATATTGCATTTTCCGAATAATTTGAAACATTAAACTAGATCTGAAAAAAGATGTATTGTTAAATATAAATAAAGATCTATTTTATTTCTTAGATAAGATCTATTTTATTTCTTTAATAGCTATGATAGAAAATATAAATTGTGTATATAATGTTTAAAAAAAATTATTTCCTGCCGATTATATAGAGATTCTATTTTCTTTTTGTTATTACACACACACAAACCTCTCTTTAAGATTGTCCTGCATCTCATCACTCGGCAATGGCGTCAGGAAATGCTGGACCATATTCATAGGTTTCAACAGAGCGTCCTGGTGCGTAATGCTCATGTACGCACAAAGCCATGCTGCGGCACAGACCGGCAGACAACACGCTGCTGTGCGTAAACCGTCCAAAGCCATCTTGACATCACCGGCTCCCAAGACACCGCTTTCCCACGCGCAGAGCAACTCCTTTACCGCGCCCATCGCTGACTGGCACGCAACATGCCATTTCAGATTACTCGACTTGAAATCAGGATCTGGCGAATTTAATTGCGTTAGCAGAGCGTCCACCCTCGCCGGATCAACGCTCTGCAACATCTTCTGCGGCGACTTTGGTTTCTTCCGTTCAGGCATACATTCGCGCACCCATTGTTCAAAAAACGAATCTCCACCTTCTTCTAAGACGACCTATAAATCAGTTCACGTTTATTTTACTCTCTCTCTCTCTCTCTCTCTCTCTCTATATATATATATATATATATATATATATATATATATAATTACTTTAATAAATATATATAAATATATAATGATACATACAATATAATAAAATTAATTTAATGTCAAATATACAAAGCATAAGAAGCCTTTCTAAATTTGAACGGGGAGCAAACTTACATCAGAGCCATATGTTTGCACTATGGAGCACAACATAAGGAATGATACATCGAATGACATTGCTCTCGTCGCTGCTGTTTTACCAGGCACAGGCTCATTAATCTGTTTACTGGACTCATTAAGCTTAATGAGTTTGGTAACAAAAGTCTTCAGTTTCCCTTCTACAGTTGCCACTGCCAGCATTAATTCAAAACTGTTCAAAACGTGATACAGCATACTCAGTAAGGAGCTTTTGGTATAATCAGCATTCAACGTCTTCAGAATGCCGGCTAAAGTCGGTTCCGCGCATATAATCACTTTTGGAATAGACGATGTTGGAGTGCTGGAAGGCTCCAATTTTTGGAGGGCTGCTGTTACACCCTCCCTAAGATAATTACATAATAATTCAGAAATAAATTATGAATAATAAAACTTTGATAGAAAGATGTTTTCTGCACAAATTACCTTCTCGCGCTTATTTGCTTCGTCTGCTTTTCCGTCACAAGATTTACCTTCTGCAATTCATTTAACAAACATTCTACATAATTACACGAGCACGTGGAGTCCATTATATCGAGCAAAGGTGTAAACTGAAGCAGCAATTCGAATGCATCTAAAATATCTTGCGAGTACTCAAATTTTTCATCACCTACAAGAATTTACATGAAGTTATGAATGCAAACTTTTTTCTAATATCTGAAGAATTTAAAATAAAATATTTTATTCACTATTTATAGTAGTTGCGTGCAACTCCTTTAATATGAGAGGCACTTTGAGAAACATGAAAGCTCCCCACTGTGATTCCTTGAATGTCCCTGTCACATTGTGCAGACACATCAAACAAGCGCGAATTATCTCGCAATAAAGTCGTGCATTCGTATAACTTTTAATCTTTGCACCATTAACAGTTGATTGACAAATACAGTCGTCTCGGTGCTAGGATTCAATAACACTTGAACAGCAAATAGTGGTTGCAAGCAATGAGTAATGGGCTCCATTTTAATTTTCTCAGGGCAAAAACTCTCAATCTCCAAATTGCATAATTTCTTTAGAGAATCTTCTATTGGCACCACAGACTTTTGATTGCACGTTTTCAATAATGATTCAATTTCCTGACATTTCTTCATAACATCTATATATAAATCTGAAAAAAAGATTGTCTAATGAAAGATAAAACATTAATTTTTTCAATATAAATCTTAATTATATAATTACACATTACCTTTGTCGTCATATTTAGCAAGATACATCATCGCGCATAAAAAATCCGAATTCAACACCTGCTGCAAAATACTAGCAGGTTTGTCTATTAACTCACTCAAATGAGGAGTAAGAGGATTACTTTGGGGTGCCTTTGTTAATGCATGTAGGTAACATTGTAAAAGCCAATGAACAATAGATAAAACTGCTGCTGCTAAAAGATCCTCTTCTGGTTTACCGCGACATGTGATACCGATTTGTATTGATTCCAGAAACTCGAGTAAGCTCAAGATGCAATGAGGCTTGTGAAATGCATCATATTTACTTATTCGCTGCAACACTGCTGCATATGACACCAGCTACAAGATGAATTGCAACATAAATCATGAATAATCAAAGTAAAATAAAATATTAGAGATAGTCTAGTAAAATATTAAAGTACAATGAACAGAACACAAACCTGAGAGCTTAATGAATGTTTCAGATATGACAGGACTAATTGATTAGGTCCTGGTCCAACTAATGCTTGTTGTAATATACAATCAGCTAAGTTGTGTACATCACCACTTACTCCCCTTGGAAGAATCTAAAGAGTTGTTACTTTAGTACATCGCAGAAAGCACATAAAAGCTGAAATGTAAATGCTTACTGTTTTGATATTAATACCCCATTGCAAATCAGTCCAACGTTCTCGCCATGCTCGTAGCAAAAGAGCTTTTAAACTGCTGGTTTTACTAGTCACTTTAGTTTCCATTGGTATGGTTAAAATATTATCCAGTTTTTGCCACATTGAGAAAGTTTGATCATTTGCAATAAAAAAAACATCTTTCTAAAATAAAAAAATAAGACAATTTTAATATTATTAAAAATAATATTTGATTTATTTTACATATATAGGAAAATATAAAAAAACTTGTTGTTTATATTTTCTATATATAAATTTAATGTTAATTGTTAGATACAAAATAAATCAATTAGTAACAGTATTATTTATTAATATTGTAAAAATACATCATAATATATTATTACTTATATTAAGTATAACTAATCTAAACTAACCTTTATAAAATTTGTCTTTTGTATTTGTGAAACATAAAGTTATTTTTATTATAAATTTTTTACCGAAAACGTAGTATTTATTTATGTAAAAACAATATAATTTTCTTATTTATTTTCTTTTATCATAAATCGTTATCTTTATATGTATACAGTCAGATCCTCTAACCTCAAATTAGCGAAACCGGCAAATCCATAAACCTATAAAAATGCATAGAGTGCTTTTCACATGGTATAAATTATAAATGTACAAGATCGATTTCCATAAAATACGATAAGCGCGCGAAATTTAAATTACACATAAATTATATATAAATATGCAATTTAAACAAAATCATAATTATCATTTTTTACTGAATGAAAGTACATTTGTATGTTATATATAATCAATTAAATATATCACATTTTTGCAAATACATATATTCATCATAAATAAGACACAAAATTAAGTATAAAAATAGAAAAATAAATAAGTAAATATTTATATCGCAAAACTTATAACTGCAATATGATATAATGTAATTATATCAATTTGAAAAAAAATCGAAAACAGTTTTTGAAAAAAGCGCAAACATCAATATACATAAAAATTAAAAGATAAAATTAATATTTTATCAATGTTGCTTATTGTTAATTCAAATTGCCTTTGGCGACTAAATGCCATAAATGAATAGCACGTGGAAAGAATATAACAAGTTCATAATACACTTTAGATCTATAACTTCATATTTAAAATCTTACAAATTAATTATATAGACTTACCATATTTCTCTGAAATGTTTTAACATGTATTATATACATGTATTATGAATATTTTGCATTAGTGCAAAAAGGAAATTTATCTATATGTAAATTGCCCATACAATCGCTGTTAAGGCATGAGGATGGTTAGTATACAAATATATCATGTACACAATTACCCTGCTAATATAGCAGTATACTTAATAAGTAATTTTAGAATAAATATACAAATATTTAAATATCTATGATGCACTTATTCATCACAATAGAATCATGATTGTGAAGAAGCGCACCTTAATTTTATAACAACTGTGTTTATTTTGTAGGTTTCAAGTTAATATTCCGTAACATGCATAAGTCACGTGCTGTCGCCTTGCGTCCCATTACGGCTTGTATGTCATATAATCTCAATAAAATATCAGTCGTGAACAATTCGGGTAATGCTTTGAGAAGACAAGGTACCTGAAAACAAACATTATAAACTTACCTACAATTTATTCTAAATTATTATATGTATAGTTAAATCTTACTGATATGATCAATAAAGAAACAATTTTTTCAGGAAGACTAATTTCAATTTACATCAGCAAGTTATTTCTTCCAACATTTTTATATCTTGAAAAGTTATACATTTATATATATTGAATTATATATATATATATATATATATATATATATATATATATTTGTATATATATTAAAAATTTAATATTTGAATATTCTATTATACATATATATTGAAAATCAAACATATGAATATTTTATTATGTGCAAATGTATTATGTAACATACCAATGTCTGTGGCATTCCCTGCAACACAATACGAGTCCTGTCTTTCCCACACTGCACTGTAAGTCGCAGAAATTGAAATATAAAGTGCGTCTGTTGAGATACCTCGCCATCTCTACCAGCCAAAAAGGCGAATATAGTGAACAGGTTGTTCAATGCTGTCATAAGCGGATCCTTTAAAACAACCATCGACTTTTGTCCATTATTTGAACTCTGCGCCTGTGGACTCTGCGAACCGAACACGGACGTAGAGACGCTCTCGCCTGTTTCGTTCAGTCGTAACAGCTTGTTAGACATTCCTAATGCGTCCAAATCATCAATGTCCAAGTCACAACGCGTACGCTTACGATTGTTACCCCGATATTGATTCGAGTTGATATACTCCAAAGTAGAAAATATACAATACACGCACAATTTCGCCAGGATGGATGATTGTGGTTCCACAAGCTCGTCACTTCTATGCAATAAAATTTATGTTTAACGAATATTTTGAGGTGAGTTTATGCAAATATGATAATTTGATAAAGGAAATGTAATGATTATATATGGACTTACTGTAATGAATTGTGTAGGTATTGTGGTATTATATGATTTAGAAGATCTAGAGTACAATTCTCTATATCAAGATGGAATATGGCAAAAGCCAAATCTACAGCTTGATCCAACTCCTCTTGATAACGATATTTCAGTACTTCCTTTACTATATTCGTGACGAACCATAAAGAACCACCAGTATTTAACAAAGATTCCAGCGACTGTGTAGCTTGTATATTTATCCATCCACGTTGATTTATATTCTGCCAAACGGATTCCAATTGTTCCAGTATCGGCTGCCGTGAAATAATACTAAAAATATAAAAATACCACAAAAATTATTATGTAAAATAATAATAAAAATTCATTTTAAAAAGTATTATGATATGTACCTATGGGACATAGAAAGCACCTTTGTTTTCGATTGTGTAGGCGGATGTACGTCATACTGCATTTTCCGAATAATTTGAAACATTAAACTGGATCTGTGAAAAAGATACAGAAGCTTAAAATCTCATATAATATCCCAAAAATTAATACATAACAAGCTTACAATATTTGCACTTAATAAAAAATAAAATTATAAAATATTTTCTTTTCACTAATTATACACTAATCCCATTTCACTCTATTATTAATACCAGAGTTGGGTAAGTTAATTATTTTTTAAACTACATTAAATTAAAGTTAATGGCTTATAAAATTAATTTAGTTACGTTAAAAGTTGCATGAACAAAAAACTAACTCAATTACAGTTAAATTAAGTTAAATCAAAAGTTAAATCAAAAATTAATTGTTTAAAACATTATTTGTAATAAATTGGAATGTCATCTCTTTAAAATTTTTTAATTTAATATTTTATTTGTTAATTTTCCATAAAATAATAAATAACGAAATAACAAAGAACTTTAGTTTTTTATACAAAAATAATTTTTCTTTGTAACTATAATTATAAAAAAAAATTAAAACTAACAGTACCTTTATTTATTTTACAATACTTATAAGAATGATATACATCATATAATGTTCTTATTAAAATTTAATTTTTCGTTATTAAAAATATAATTGTCTAATGTTTAGGATTTTATAAAAAAAAATAATGGAATTTAGAGATGACATAAATTTTTAGTTTAGGAAAAAAGTTAACAAATTTAAGTTTAAAAATACTAAATTAAAATTAAATTACTCTATTAACTCATTTTAAATTAACTACACTAAGTTAAAAGTTATTAACTTTTTAACTTTGAACTAATTAATTGCCTAACTTTGATTAATACACACACCTCTCTTTAAGATTATCTTGCATCTCATCGCCCGGCAATGGCGTCAAAAAGTGCTGAACCATATTCATGGGTTTCAATAAAGCATCCTGGTGCGTAATGCTCATGTACGCGCAAAGCCATGCTGCGGCGCAAACCGGCAGACAACACGCTGCTGTGCGCAAACCGTCTAGAGCCCTCTTGACATCACCGGCTCCTAAGACACCGCTCTCCCACGCGCAAAGCAACTCCTTCACCGCGCCCATCGCTGATTGGCACGCGACGTGCCATTTCAAATTGCTCGACTTGAAATCAGGTTCTGGCGAGTTAATTTGCGCCAGCAGAGCATCCACTCTCGCCGAATCAACGTTCTGCAGCATCTTCTGCGGCGACTTGGGTTTGTTTCGTTCCGGCATACATTCGTACACCCATTGCTCGAAGAATGAGTCTCCGCCTTCTTCTAGGACAACCTATGCAAGCCAATTTATATTTAGTTTATACAATGTATAGAAGAGAATTATATCGAAAAAACAGGGAAAAATGTAGAAATATATAGAAAAAATATATAAAGAGAAATATAATCGCATGTATAAAATTATAAAGCCTTTCTATAATAGATTATATTATTATTAATAGATAGAAATTCGAATGAAGAAGAAACTTACATCAGAGCCATATGTTTGCACTATGGAGCACAACATGAGAAACGATACATCGAATAACATTGCTCTCGTAGCTGCTGTTTTGTCAGGCACAGGCTCATTAATCTGTTTACTGCTTTCATTGAATTTGATAAGTTTAGCGACAAAAGTCTTCAGTTTTCCCTCTACAGTCGCGACAGCCAGCATTAATTCAAAGCTATTCCCTGTCAAAACATGATACAGCATGCTCAGTAAAGCCTCTTGGATTTTTGTATAGTCGGCATTTAATGTTTTCAAGATCCCGGCTAGCGTCGGTTTTGCTCGTATAATAACTTTTGGAATGGATGATGTCGGAGTGCTGGATGGCTCCAGTTTTTGCAGAGCTGCTGTTACTCCTTCTCTATAATGATCGCAAAATAATAGAAAATAAATTATGTTGATTCATTGTGAAATAAATTTTAAAAGAAATCATTTTTGACATTACCTTCTCGCGCTTATTTGCTTTGCCTGCTTCTCTGTCACAAGATTTACCTTCTGCAATTCGTTTAACAAACATTCTACATAATTACAGGAACACGTGGAGTCCATTATATCGAGCAAAGGCGTAAACTGAAGCAACAATTCAAACGCATCTAAAATATCTTGCGAGTATTCGAATTTTTCGTCACCTGCAAAAAAAATAAAAGAGTGAAAAAAAGCATTTTTGGATATATATAGTAACAAATTTCCAACAGTTTTATTTACTATTTAGAGTAGCCGCATGCAACTCTTTTAATATCAGAGGCACTTTTAAAAACGTAAAAGCTCCCCACTGTGACTCCTTAAATGTTCCTGTCACATTGTGCAGACACATCAAACAAGCGCGAATTATCTCGCAATAAAGCCGTGCATTCGTATAACTTTTTAATCTTTGCACCATTAACAATTGATTGACAAACACGGCCGTTTCGGTGCTGGGATTTAATAACACTTGAACTGCAAAAAGTGGTTGCAAACAGTGAGTAATAGATTCCATTTTAACTTTTTCAAGGCAAAGACTTTCAATCTCCAAATTGCATAACTTTTTCAGAGAATCTTCTATTGGTACCACAGACTTCTGGCTGCATGTTTTCAATAATGACTCGATTTCCTGACACTGCTTCACAACATCTATATACAGATCTGAAAATGGAGATAGAAAAATTTGTATAATAAAACTAAATTATTAATTTCTCAATTATCAATTTCTTTAACATAAATCCTAAATATATCATTAATTTACCTTTGTCATCGTATTTAGCTAAATACATCATCGCGCATAAAAAATCCGAATTTAACATCTGTTGTAAAATACTGGCAGGTTTGTCTATTAGCTCACTCGACTGTGGAGTAAGAGGATTATTTTGAGGTGCATATGTTAATGTGTATAAATAACATTGTAGAAGCCAATGAACAATGGATAAAACTGCTGCTGCTAAAAGATCCTCTTCTGGTTTACCACGACATGTAATACCAATTTGTATTGATTCCAAAAATTCAAGTAAACTCAAGATGCAATGAGGCTTATAAAATGCATCGTATTTACTTATTCGCTGCAACACTGCTGCATACGACACCAACTGTAAGATGAGTTGCAATATAAATTATTGATGTTCAAAATAAAGTAAAATATTATAGTACAATAAACAAACCTGAGAGCTTAAGGAATGTTTCAGATACGATAGCACTAACTGATTAGGCCCTGGTCCCACTAATGCTTGTTGCAATATACAATCGGCTAAGTTATATACATCACCACTTACTCCTCTGGGAAGAATCTGAAGATTTGTTACATTTTAAAAAATGATAAAAAGTGTACATTAATCACATAGAGTTGAAATATAGATGCTTACTGTTTTGATATTAATACCCCATTGTAAATCGGTCCAGCGCTCTCGCCAAGCTCGCAGCAAGAGAGCTTTCAAGCTGCTGGTTTTACTAGTCACTTTACTAGTCTCCATTGGTAAGGTTAAAGCATTATACAATTTTTGCCACATTTAGAACATTTAACAATTTGTAATAAATAAATCATTTTTCTAAAAATAAGAAAATAAAGTAATGATAAGTGATAATATAAGATAGTAAATATATGTATGTAGTGATAATAATAGAATTACAGATAGAATTACAGATAAGTGATAATAATTTTATATGAAGTAAATATAAAGAAAATCTTATTTCGGGCAAATTTTTGGACGCGAATAATTATCAAATGACTATTAATTATCAATAATTTATTTATATATATTAATATATTTTAATTTATTAATATATGTAAATATTGTAAAGATTTTCTGGAGCATGCTTATTGTTATTACAGTAGTAAGCATAATGACTAACTTGAACTAACCTTTATAAAATTTGTCCTCTGTAGTTGTAAAACATATATAAAATAATTTCTGTTATATAATTCATCGATAAAAAGCAAATGGTAATTATTGTAAAAATTTAACACTTTCTTATTTTCTCTTTTTTTTATAATATATTGTTCATTTACCAGGCACACACGGATCTTCTAACCTAAGCTAACCTCGCATCATCTTAATCGAGCATAGATATACAAGAATACATAGTACATAGAGTTTTCATCATTGATTCGTTCAAGGATGCGTTCGGAAATCCTATTCGTAGAGTTCAATATTCAATCAACCAATCAGAAGCAGAGAAACAAAAATTCCTTTATCTTGATTGGTCAATTAAACGCTACTTGCATATAATAAATTCGTTCTTTTTTAGCTCTACGAGAACTGAGAGGGTATAAAATGAGATGGATAAATAAAGAAATTTTTTTACAAGTTCTATGTACAAATTTTTTTTAAGATTTTATACACAAATTCTTCTATTTGACATTCGACGCGCCGTGGATTTCCGGTAATACGAGCGGAAGTGTGGCAAAGCTTTCGACTTCCGGCCGCTCGTTTTCACTTCCGTTAGCGTAGTAGACGTGAGCTGAGTGCCAACAACGTTCCGGTTGTTTCCTGATTCCTGTCGCCGTTTTTGCACGACTCCGAGGAAGAGAACTCGGCGAAAAAGTGACAGCGTCCTGAAAACAGGACGGATAATATAAGAGAAGAAGAAGAGATATAATTGACGTTTCTCGTTGCTCGCTAAATTCAGCTAAGTCGTTGATCCTTTCGCCTTTCGGCTTCTCGCCTCGTGCATCGACAGTTTCTTTTTTTTCACTTTGTTCGAACACTGTAGAAAAGAGCGGCACGATGACGGACAATCGTAAGTACCAGTGAAATTACGCGCGTAATTAACAATCGCATAATTATTCCTTGTAATGTACGAAGTTTCGGACGTTTGTTTGCCTTATTACGCTAGACACGAGTTGAATGGGAGAAATAGCGTCGCAATCATTGTTTCTCTTTAAGCGGTTTCGATTCACGAAAATGGCGATTAAGCAAAGTTGTTGTCGAAGATAGCGAATAATGCTGATTCTATTAAGAATTGCGAATATTTTCTTAGATATGTTAAAGAGACGAATAAAATTATCTATTTCGTATATAATCAATAATTTTGTATATAATATAAAAAAGTTAAGTATATTGCAAATTTGTCAAGCAATTTTTGAAATGTTTGCGAATTTTACAGAATACTCCAATTATCAGCAACAAGGATATAATCAGTACAGTCAACCACCACCTTCGGCTGGTCAGGATACATCGTATCCACCTCCCTCTGCAGGCACAGGTGGCTACAATCAGTATAGTCAACCACCTCCGAGTACTGGCACCAATTATGGCAGTTATGGTAGCTACGGCTCTGGTCAAGATTACAATCAGTCTCAAAGTCAAGGAAGTTATGGACAGAATTACAGCGGAGGTGGTAATGCGGGTGGTGGAGATAGCGGTAACAATTACGGTGGAAATTATGGACATGGAAGTAGTGGAGGAGGTGGTGGAGGAGGATATAATCGTAATTCTGGTGGTGGCTATAGTGGAGGTAAATATTTCTTTTCTATTTTCAAAATTTTTGTCTTCTTTTTTATTCATGTGTTGGTTTTTTTTTATAGCTATATCTCGAAAATTTATTTTATATTTATTTTATGTATACTATTTTATATACTATTTTAAAATTTACTTTATATACTTACATTTTATATTAAATAAAATTGATATTTATATTGATAAAAAATGTATTTTATTCTATATTGAATGAAATTTACAACTATATACTATGTACTCTTATTCAAAGATTATGTTTGATAATTATCTCATCATTTGTATATTTTCTTAGGCCAAGGAGGTGGCGGCGGAGGCGGTAGATATGGCGATCGTGGTGGTTATGGAGATCGCTCCGGTAGTGGTTACAAGTAAGTTTATTTTCTGAACTTTTAATATATACTTTAATAAAGCGACAATTCGGAGCAGTAGACTCCGACGTGTTAAATTAAAGGCAACAGCCACTGCATTCACAGTAATTGATTCAAGCGACTTTATCGAAGCAAAATCAAAGGTATGCAATGAAGTTCTTAACGCCAATAATGGAAACTCTTGTTGTATCATCATTACGAACGGTTTTATGCCCGGTTGGGCGTTAATATGTTTGAAGTATGCCTACAGGTTTAACTGACAGATATAACTGAAGTAAAAGAGGTAAAGAAACAGTATATGACAAATGACGTAAAAAAAAAGGTTGTAATGTCGACACCCTATTCGCTGGTTTTCTGAAACTGTAGCAAACACATAACACACACGCACATACAAACATGTAAACGACGTACGTACGTATATGTATATGTGTCGTAGTTACGTGCAATATTCGGTCTTAAATCAATCAAGACCGATAAAGCGATTGATGTCGCCACTGGGACCACTGTTGTAATATTATTTCTATTAGGCATATATTAAATACGATTAGGCAATTACAAGGTATTTAGAGTCTATCGTAAGAGATTACAATCTATTATCGTGTAGGCATTTTTCGTAAAAAGCATGTTTTGAGAATAAGGTGGATATGTGATATATGTATGTTATATTCGCATATAACACATTTTTCTTTAATCTAAATGATTTTACTTCTGCGTATTGTTACTTCCAGCTGTGGCGTATTGGTCTTGTCATAAACAGGTATATTTTTTGGAAGATAATATTTTTTCTATTAAATTACTGATATAATCAACCCTCTATATGAAGTATACAGACACATGAAAAGAGCAAAGTACGTCGTGTGTCGACTGTGTTTTGCATTTAGAAATTTCCCAACTGCAACAGAATCAACGGCAAATTATGGCGGATGCTTGGCAATATTTTTTTACTCGCGGCAAACGTTTTGTACTCGCAATACACAAGTAATCTCTTACTTTTTTGTTTGAAAAATGACGAGATATGTCGAATTAAAAAAGACTCGAGGGATGCTTCTTTTATATTCAAGATTTGCTTTTCTTTAATATAACTTGTGTTATCCGGCTCGAACAGACCGAACACTCTGATGTAATTTCGTTTTTTGAATTTTTAAGTGTTATTATTCTCCATATGTGTAAAGATAATCTCTGCATGCTAAAAAGAAAAAGCAGGACCGACAAACGTAACGTCGACAAACGGGAAGCCGGTAAATCTAATGCAAATCATTTAATGACTAATGACTGTAACAGACATTTAGACAAATAGGTACATCAGTCAAGAAGAAACGGTGGCGAGCGGCGTACGTACGATTCGCCATGCATCGATCGATCGATCACAGTCTGTCCATGAGTCAACTCATTGGTATATCTGCTTCTGTGTTTTAGCAGTGGCGGTGGCCGTGGTGGTTATAACAAAGGTAAATGCACCAGACTGTTTGTACTAGTCTGGTGCTAAAATATTCTAGCTTACACTCTATTTATTACGATTTTAAAATACTCGGTTACTCGGATATTATATGAAAGGGCTGCTATTGCAACATTGTTAGGGGAAGAGTTGTAAAATAATTTCTCAATGGTAATTAATTATTCACCATGCGATACGATACATTCGCAAGGCATTTATTGAAGCGGGAAAACGAGGGAGAGTAAATGATCAACTGTTCTAATTCCACTTGAGTATATCATTGAAAGAGAGACCAGAATATTATATCACCAATTGCTTTTTTTCCTATGCACAGCAACGTTATTGTAAAAAAAAAATATTTTCCAAAAGCAGGACATTTCGTCTAATTAAAAAAATTTAATGTTTTATATTTTGTAAGATAACTGTATATAATATATATATTATATTATATATATATATATATATATATATATATATATATATATATATATATATACATATATATATATATAAAACCAACCACAAGTAACGCACTGTACGGTGACGTCGTTCAGTGCGGAAGTGTTTTGAAAAATCGCTTAAAAGGTTGAAAGAGGTTCCTAAAAAGGTATAAAAAAAGGTATTACGACATGGACATTATACGTTTAATATGCGAAAGAGAAAGCGAAGTAGAACAAAATAGTTATGTAATATGATTATCGTATAGATTTTTGATATGGTCATACTACTATTTGAACGCGATATTTTTAAACTGTATAAGCATAAGCACATGAAAAATATGTATAATATGAGCGCGAAAGAAAGGAGTAAATAAAAGGCAGCTGGTGAGCTACTTGCCGATCTATGATTTAAATCTTTAAGGACAAGAGATAATGTTGCAGCCCTTTTGTATGTTCAGCTGCAACCTTGTGTTCTGTATGTATCGTTAGGTATTAATTGGAGTATTAGACTGCTACTAATATACATTAAGTTTCTATAAGTAAAATGATATACGCACAGAAGAAATTAGGACGTATATACCGCAAATATAACGTCATTCAAAATATACAAGAAACTACTTCAAATTATGAAGATGTGTACACAACAAGTCATCAATTATTATTTAGTAGAGTTGTGTATGAAATGTCTCTTTTCTTTAAATTTTTTTTTAAGACTCTTGAAAAAAGTGCACAATATTATTCTTAACGGGTAATATAAATTATGCGTAATGGCAAAATAATTAAGAGGTAAAATAATGTTCTATAAGAAATATACATAAGGAGCGTATACATATCTAGTTGTTAAATAACTAATATAAGTTTGGTAATATGTCCTACGAAAGAAAAACTTAAATGTTGTACGATTTACTCGTAAATATTGAATCGTAAAACTAGAATGTATAATCCAAACGAAACTGGTAATTTATTTTTTCTGCTTATTTTTCAAAAAGAAAAAAAATGACAAAAAAGTCATACAATATCGAAGCCGCATATATACAAAAAATTACAATTGGCACGATATCGTAAGACTATTAAAAAAAGTGTGGAAACTAACATTTTGAAAACACAAGCATTATATCCTTACTAAGAATTGTCACTGTGTCATTAGGAGAAACATGAGAAATTTTTTTATATAGGACTTGATAATTTTTATCAAGAGTTGTGTGAAATTTTGAGAGAAGATATATGGACAGTGTTTCAAAGTTCTTTTTCTCATGATATCTTGTAACGTCCAAGTTACATAAAGAATTGCGACCAATATACTATGCTATGAAACACTTTCCTTATACCTTTAGATTAGGATAAAGTAGCTCCGGGATCAATAGAGACACGCGAAAATATTTTTTATCTTAGACGTTTCTCTGTGCGACGAATCATGACTTTTGGTCCATTGCAGGAGGCTACGGTGACCGTAACAGCAGCGGTGGTGATGGAATGGTTACCCAAGAGGATACTATCTTTGTATCCGGTATGGATCCTTCAATCTCCGAGGAAGAAATTTGTCAACATTTCGGTGCAATCGGTGTGATCAAAGTACGAATCTTTACACACGGATACATATTTATAACTCTATATAACATTAAATGAGTATTTCGAGATAATACAATGTTATCTCACGTTAAGAAAATCAAACAGCATTTAGAATTAAATGTGAAACTCAAGTAGTATCAATATAAATATACTCATTTTAATGAAACAGTTGTCTAAAAGTTTCATGTTTCTAGCACGACAAGCGCACGGGCAAACCGAAAGTTTGGATGTACAAGGATAAAAATACAGGAAAGTCGAAGGGAGAGGCGACAGTCACTTATGATGATCAGAACGCCGCGCGTTCGGCCATTAGCTGGTTCGACGGCAAGGAATTTAAGGGATGCACCATAAAAGTACAAATGGCGCAGCATAAAAGTAGCTGGCAGGGTAATCGAATGGGCGGTGGTCGTGGTGGCGGTGGTCGCGGTCGCGGAGGCGGCGGTTTTGGTGGTCGCGGTGGTGGTGATCGCGATGATCATCACCGTGGAGGTGGCGACGATCGTCGCGATGGCGGAGGCCGTGGAGGCGACTGGAGGTAAATTATACTTTTATAATTTTTCCTTAATTAATATATTATTACTATTTATCACTTATAACTAACGCTAAAGAAAGATATTGAAATGTATTGAGAAAAAGCAATTGTTACAAAAAAAACAAAATTATTTGAAACAGATGTCCGAATCCCGATTGCGGCAATACAAATTTCGCTTGGCGAGATCAATGTAATCTCTGCAAAAGCTTAAAACCGGAGGGTCTCGGTTACGGCGGTGGCGGTGGTGGTAGAGGCGGTGGTGGTGGTCGAGGTGGTGGTGATCGCGGAAGCCGAGGAGGATTCAGAAACGATCGAGGCGGACGTGGAGGTGACAGGGGTGGAAGAGGTGGCGGCGGTGGTTTCCGAGGTGGAGACCGAGGAGGCCGCGGAGGCGGTCGAGGTGGTCCTATGAGAGGAGGCGGCGGGTAAGATTGCCATGTCTTCTCAATTTGCGCGAAGTCCTTAAAACTTTATGAATTAACTTGTATGTTTACTCACATTATTCTTTTTTTAATATAAGAAAATACATACAAGAATTAAAAGAAAAACCTATATGAAAATTATATATATTAAATATAAAATATATAATTATATATATACATATATATAATTTTATATTATATTTAATAATATTTAATAATAATATAAAACAATATAATATAAATATTATATTATAATATTATTATATATATATATATGTATATATATATGAAAATATAAATCTATATATATTAATTGTGCATAATTTTAATACATTTTGTTTTAGTCGAGGCGATAGGGACAGGGATCGTCAGCGACCATATTAATTTGATATTCGTATATAGTCGTACGACTGTCACTAAACGACTTATACACATTTTGTACACACAGTTTCAATGCTTGTACATTTCGCTAAGTGATAATCACTTCTTCATGTCATATACTTTTTACTTTCTTTTTTTTGCGTATAATTTTTTATATTCATTGAAGATACGAACTTATATGTACAATTATATGTTCGTGTATGCAAAACTATTATTCCTATATAAAATCAAATCCAGTAGAAAATAATAAGTAAGGCTTAATGTTGCATAAGCATGTAACTGATTATTTATCACCCGCTGTCATTTAAATAAAATATCTCATAAAATTAAAAGAGAGAAACTTTTGAAAAAATTTATTTATTGAAAGTTGAAAATATAATACAGTAAATTTATGTTATATGTATGTATACAAATCTGATGGAAAATTATATAACTCAGACATATGACCAAAATAAATAGATCTTCGTCTTCGTAATCGGACACGAGAGAAGCCGAATTTCTTAAATAAACTGTATTTAATATTTTCCTTTTTTTCATTATGATAAATATATTTATATAGTTTTGTAATATATCACGTTTATACTATAAAGAGATGTTATGCATATATATGTGTATGACGTGTAGTTATCGGTATTTATATAATTTTTCGGTATGTATATGTACACAGATACCTAGGTATGGATAGATTACATGAAGACCTCTAGAATGGATTTACTTGAATGCGCCACGATCACTCGTTTTTCTTCACTCAATCTTTACGCTTGCGTGACTCCTTGGCGGACAGTTCCTAAAATAAAAATATATACAAATATTTCTAAATTCTTAAGATAAAATTCTTCCTGAACAATCAAAATTTTTATACAAAAAAAAATAGCGCGGTAGTTCCAAAAAATATCTACAAAGAAATGACCAAACTAAAATCATTAATCAGTTTCCAAAAATTTCTAAATATTAATTTGTCGCAATAACATCGCGTTTGGCTCTTAATCGAGATGAAGATGGAGTTTATTAAAAATAAAATCATTAATTTGTCAAAATAATTTACCTTTTGCGTAAGTATCACAAGGAGGTGTCGGAAAACACCTACAAAATCGATGAACAAATCCAAGGAGTGCATGATGAAGTCTCTGCTGCCCATGTGATGCTTCTCAATGATCAACTGCGTATCATAGATGACAAAGCCGCAAATCACGAATAATCCCACGTACAAATGCATTTGGTAGATCAAGGTCGAGCGCAAGAGTAGATTGGCGAAGGAAAGCAGAATCATGATATTCAAAATGCTGATTAAAGCACCACCAAGATACAGCCAGCGACCACGTTCGGCCAAAAGTGCAGAAATGCTGAAGGAAACGAAAACTACCGTCGTACCTGTAATCAGTTTATTACAACATGATCATTTTATACATACATACATATATTTGCACAATTTCAAAACAATTAACTTAGTAGTATTAATCATTTGTCGATAATGACAATCTTTCTTTTTCAAGACGCACAAAATAAATTATTAGGAATTTGTGACTAAAATTTTTTTTAATTTGCTTTATTTTAGAAAATTGTAAGAAATAGCACTCACCAATTAATGCTGTTACTACTATACTCGGATCTATGCTGATTACCATCTCGAGCAAGGGACCCAATCCGAGACCAGACAGGAATGCAAATCCCAAAAGGTAACCGAGGCGCAGTTTTTGATTTTTGCCATTATCAGGCGTTGACATTAGCGCAATAAGAAGACCCAAGGTACCAAGAGTCGTCAACAGATTAGCCTGCAGGAGCTGCGTGTGAATGTGTATATAAGCTCCTATGGCTGCTGATACAGTTGAGAGGGACAAGCAACCATAGACATTCTTCAAGTGTTGTCTGACTGGTGCATTTCTAGAAAACATTAATAATTGCTAATTAACATTACATTATTTTGCATACTCAAAGAATATTGAATTTTATAGTCTTGTGTTATGAAAATCTATTTGTGATGCAAGAATCTCTTCATTTGCATTGTGAATGCATATCTTTTTCCTATAATTTAAAATCTACAAAAATTAAATTTTACATGAAATATATTTATTTTTTGTGCTTACTTAATCAAAATCTCAAGATAAAGGTCTGGTTCATCAATTTTATCTCTATAAATAGTATGATTCAATTTTTATCTTAATATTTACTGTGTTCTCCCATATAATGCAAAACTTAAGTATTATTTTATTATATGTAATTTAAATTAAATAAGTAAAATAGTTTGATCTTAAATATTTTTTAATTGATCCAAAGTTTTTCACAAGATATTGTCATTGTTGCAACATTTTTAACTCTGAAAATAATTTTGTAGCTGCATTTTTTTCCAAGAAGATATGAAAATTTAACGATATCTCAGAATGCTATGAATGTGATAGATATCGCATTTATGTCATCATTACAAAAACAATACCACAAAATAATCAGTTAATGTAAAGAGAGATGAATTTGATTAGATAACGTTCTAGAAACCGTTCTAGAATATTTTTTTCATATCATTCTTTTCTCTCTCTATCTCTCTCCTTCCGGTACGTTTACGATGCGTGAACTCTGAACCCAGATAACATTTCCACAGGTATATAGGCGAAATTCAAATAAGCTTGTCTTACAAAAAATATGTATTTTCTCTCCAATAATTCAATATATTATATAGCGACGCGACTAAAAACATTATATGGATCTCGAAAAGTTTTATATAGAATGACGTCTTCCACACACACATACATATATATACCTGTATATATATGCACATACTTCTATTTTACATTAAATCTTAATGATAGATGACATTGAGAAGTTTGAAATCGATTTTTCCACAACGAAAATATCGGGGAAGGTCATTATTATAGTCGCGAGTGCCTCTTTCGACATTAAGCAAAGTGCTCGCACTTTCACTATATATGTATATTCACATATATATACATATCTGGACATAAATTGCGTTGTCATATATCTATACTTATAAACGAAGATACTCGTTTTGGAATGTCAAACATGAAAGTTGAAGGTCATCGAGTATCGCGACGCATAAATACATGCATATATATACATAAATCGTATAAATTTTATCGCTAATCATCCTTGGTGGAGGATATGGAGGAAATAAAAACGGGTCCGGAAAACTGCGTCGCGAACCAGAGGAGAGGAAAAAAATCCTGAAGGATCCCACAGATCCGTTTCGTCGCGGAAGGGAAATTTTGCGCGTCAAAAAATATGCATAATATATTACTTACAACGTGTTGGTGAAGGAATTTACAAAAGTGTTTAGAACCGCTGCCATAATTTCGCTGTCGCTCGGCTGCCTCTGAACTGGACGACTGGAGTCTGCTTTCTGACGATCGACAGACGCGCTTGATTAAACCCACGTTCACTCACTCGGATGACTATACGGTATTTATTCACCTCGTCGAGGTTCCCTGCGACGCGCGAGAGACGAAATTGTCGTGGCGAGGTCGAGGAATTGTATGCACTTACGTAGCCGATACTCGCACGGGGGACACGTCAGTGATATTTCTACTACGCGTAAAAGCCAGACCGACGAGACAGACGAGGATAGGACGAGAGAGAACGGACGTGTTCGATTGGGTGGCTCCGCGGCTCGACTAGATGGCGACAGCTCTGACGTGCTATATTTGCAATGTCATGTCTTTTTTTTAAATTTTGTTCGATTAACAAAAAAAATATTGCGATTTTTGTCGCATTTTATTATTCCACAGCTGTTTTCTTATTAGCTTTCTTTTTTTGCAAATTTTTTATCGTCCCCTCTTCGATATACTTATTTGATATTAGAGAAAAAAATTTATAAATATAATAAATTATATATACATATAAGTATTTTTTTAATATCGAGATAGAAATCGAAATTTATTATAATGGCTGTTTTTTTTTTTAATATCTCAATTTTATCATAAAATTTTGATATGTAATTAACATATAAAAAATTAACTTATCTAAGAAGCTATTCGATTGTTCAATAAGCAACTGGGAAGGCAGAATTATTTTTTTACTTTATAAAACTGCATGTACTATTTTTAGAACGATAAATTACATTGACAAAATTATAACAGTTTTTTAGAATCCTATAATTAACACATGAAATAACCATATATCCATATTGAACATATATCCATATAAACTAAATAAAAAAGATATGACGATGTTAATGATAACAAAATACTTGTAAATTTATACACTCTTTCTACATGGTTTTATAATTGTATCTTGCACAGCTATTATAAAATCCTACATTGCTTTTTCTTCAATTATCTCATACAGTCTTTGCATTCGATATATGTTCAAAAATTATGATAATCGTAAACTGCTGAAGTATGTTTACTATTAATTATTTCCAGTTGATAGAAAAGATTTATAGAATGTGGATTTGTTTTTGATACACTGCAATATCGTTCTTTTTATACACTCTGCTATATAACGCTATTGATACAATCACTTTTAATAAAATTTATTATAATTGAAATGGTTAATAGTGAATACTTTGAACGCTATATAACTTCCATCATAATTGTATTACTTAAGCAGCATTTCTAAGATTGAGGACATTGTATTCTTCCAACATCGCCACTTTCTGATTGACTATCAGTATTTTCAGATGAATTATCATGAGAAGAGTCATGAAAATGTAAATCATCGTCGTCGTCGTCGTCGTCCTCATCATCATCGTCATCCCGATTCGGATCTTCAACTCCATGACGCGTATAGAGATGCTAAAAAAAAAAAAAAAAAAAAAAAAAGACAATCGTGAAACAAATAAAGTAAATATGTATATTTTCAAATTTCAATTTATTGCTAATTAACAAAGATTTTTAAAAAGTTTAATTAGTAAGAATATATGACAAAAAAAAGATAGATACTAATGTATTACTTACACGTATTCTTTCTCTGTGACGGATATGTCTCAGTAAAATCCAAAATAATTGCCCATCAAATGTATCAGGCGTATTTTCTTGCTTTCTATTTTTCATATTGGATATAACACACTTAAGGAAAAAAGAAAATTATATTATAAATATAATTTGATTTTTTATAATTTTATTATGAGAATAGATTATATAGTAATATTAATGCAATAGCATTATATAGTAATTTTTTTGTACATACATCACTCAATGATTCCATTATTGGTGGTTCACTGTGTGAAGGCACCCATATTTTAACATCATAATCTAATCCACTTGTTGCAAGAATGGGAATATGAGGGTGTCCTTCTAAACAATTTACCTATATAATAAAAAAAAGTGTTATTTTCTCTCCTATCATAAAAAAATTTATTTTATTTTCATGAAGTAAAGAACTCACAACTCCTTGTTTATCCCCATTCATCCATTGTACAACCGCTTCTGTATTTTTGTCCCAAATAAATATGTTACCACAATCAGATCCAGATATAACATATTCACTTTTGGGTCCAAAGAAATTAACACCTTTTACTGTAATTAAAATATAAATAATATTAAGAAATTACTTAAGGCATTAATTCCCAAACATGTGAATTTTAAAAAAGATATATTAGAGAAAGAATTATCTAATATAAAAATTAATTAAAATATTTATAATTAAATACCAAATAATTTGTGCTGAAACATGTTAAAATAGTCATATAAAAATCTAAAATTGGAACTATATATTCTCTTGTTACAATCATATGTATGCGCAACATACCTGTTGCACTATTTCTATGACCTTGATATCTATGAGCGTAATCTACCCGCGGTGACAATAATCTATCAAATAGATATATATCTTCATCATTATATGATGCGAGAATTTCAGTTCCATTATGATTATATACAGCACACGTTACATGCGCGTGTTTATTCCCCGTCTAAAACAAATTACATATGTTGTATATAAGATTGCAAGCTAGAACTATTAATTTTTTTTATTATTATTAAAAAATTAGATTTGTTCAGTACAATAGAATAATACCATACCAAGTGATCAGGGCATAATTTATAAAGTGGCGTCGAAACTTTTCGTCGATCATACACTCTCACATAATGAGAACGGCCCCCAACGCAAAATTCATTGCTATTAAAAGGATTAGAATGTATACTATATAGTTGAACTTCTGATGAACCTTCTTTTACTACAAGCAATCTGTGGACAAAAATGTATTATACAATAAATGTGTGTGTATACATCAAAGAATAAAAAATTTAGATTTATGAGCTTTTTAATCATGATATTATATTGTTTAATCAAAATAAAAAGGCTATTATTACCTGCTTGGTTTGCTCTCTCGGACATCTATGGAGAATACTTTTGCATCTTCTCCAGCAGAAAAGACTAGATGAGGTGTTTCAGGATGCACAGCTAATTTATGCGATGGTCCACGATGTGCTGCCAGTCTCTTTGATGTATTATGTTCAAGATCCAATAAACGTACCTGACCATCTCGGGCACAGGTGACCATGAGGTACTCCATGTCCAATGGTAACCACTTAGCCTAAATGTAAAAAAATTATTAAATACATAATACAAATTTAGAAATAACACAATACAAAAATGATTAAAAACACAAACATATCTCAATATATTATGTTGTATTTAAAAAACCATATTAAAACGTACTTGAAACACATTTCTCGTATGTCCACTCATAAACCAATGACGTTTTTTTCCTCTAGCCCAATCCCAAATAATAACTGCTAAATCGTCAGAGGCACTCGCTAATAAATTTCCCTTCTCATTAAAGTTTAAGGCATTTACGCAACCCTGTAAATGATAACCAGATATCAATATAACAATAGAAAAATAATTCTTTTGCAAGATTCTTATTACAATGTAAGAATCAGGTAAATCAACATAATGTTTATAAAATAGTAAATAATATACCTGATGTTCATTAAGATTGTACATAACTTTGAGCCGTTCTACTGTATGTAAAGAACCGTAAAATCTTCTTTGGAACAGTGAATTGCTACCTATTTGGCGGTTTATAATTTCCGGTACTACGCACCAATTCGGTGGTGGTTTCTCTATTTTTAGGCAACGAGGTGTCTCTTCCTCATGTTCTTCTTCTTCATCCCATTCATCCTCATTAGCTGCTATCCATTCATTTGAATCACCTATCCAAAATCCAGAAATCTACATCCAAATATGTGCAACTCTAATAACAACTATACAAAAATATGAAATACCTCTTTCATCTTTATATCTATCAGCTCCATCATCGCGCGTTTCTGATCTTGCTCTGCGAGTTCCCGAACTTTTATTTGATGGTTTATTATGAGCAGATGATTCATTTCTAGTACTGGCAGATGCAACATTTTCTAAAATTATATATAAAATATTTTATATATATTACATTTCATTTATTAGACAAGACTTTTAAAAAGGCATTTGCTTTTTAAAAAAAATTATAAAAATCATAAATAATAAAGATATGTTCAATAATCGCGTTCTAATATGATCAAAAATTTTATTGAGCAAAACTAATAATCACCTTCATCTGTATCAAGTATGGAAGCTTCCCTTGCTGCCTCGTTTGACAAAGTATTCCCAGAACTGTCTTCATTATCACTTGTTATATTTCGTCTCTTACGATAATTTCGTTGTTTCACTTTTGATTTAGTTTTCTGAAATGGTACTGTGTCATCGTTTATATTTTCTCCCTCAATATCTTGTACACATTTATTTAACTTCTGACGTTTATTCGAATCTTCATCTGAACTGTCGTCCGACTTTTCCATCGATGCACTATTGGCACGTACTTGACCTTTTGAAATACTTCTTTTAGCCTTAGCCTGTTCTGTATGCAATACATTTGATTCGTTAACAGAAGAAGATAGACTACTTTCTTGTGAAGTAGTTGCTTCTGATGCATCTGCCGAATTAATAGTCTTACAAAAGATATCTTTTAATGTGTCATTAGTTTTGTCACATTTATCAGTTGTTACTTCAACATCACCTCCCATAGAAAGTTCCATTGGTTCTTGCACTTCTTCACTTTGCATAGTTTCGCAAACAAAGTTGTTATCATTCCCTGCATGACTAGCATCTTTTAAGGTGACATTGCTTTCAAATGTATCAGTAGAACTATTTACATCTGTTGAGATGCTTGCTACTTCTAAAGTGTTATTGCTATTTTGTGTTTCACCTTTGGAATCCATCTTTTGAAAATCATACGTACACTTCTGTTACTTGTCTAAAACGTCAGTAATCATTTCTTTAAAGAGATGTTTGATATACGTAACACACATCGAAAGTTTATATCTGAAAAAGTAATATATCAATTTTGATTTAAAAAAAACTTATAAATATTCAATTTTTATATGATACAAAAGATTGCACAATCAACATGAATAATATCAACAAATTAGTATTAAAATATTTATATTTTTCTAAAATAACATTGAGACTATAATAAATAAAAAATAGATCCCTGTTAAGTTTGTAACTAAGAATAATTAATCGCTAGACAATATTTATCAAAGAGTACATATGATATTTATGGATAAGTTTAGTTAATTGCGTGACATTTAATAATCGTTATCCGATATTGCTCGTTAATACAAAACCTGTCATTAGCGAAGACGGAAAGGCAAGAGATTGCATTGCAGAGGTTTGACAATACTAAGAATTAAACGACACAACGAAACGATGTCCCAAATAGCGATGCAATTACTCCCTCGCACATTAACATAAATTCGATCGTTCGCACATCCCTATTTTCTTTCTAAATGAAATTATTTGCTAAAATGGCCAGCACACATATATATGACGCGTGTATGTAATTATTATTATTATCTCAATTCTCTCATTAGAAAATGTTCTTTATAAATGTCTAAGCTAAATCTCAACGTACGTCGAAAAGAGTTTGGATATCGAAAGGAGATGCAAATCACAAATTACAGATGAAACAAGAAAATACGCAAAATGAAACAGATGATTCGATAGGATACACTCACCCTCACCTCGGAATTCTTTCACTTTAACGAAACACGATATGGCTATACATGTCCTGTTCCTATATACGTTTATATATATATAATATATATAATATATATAATATATATATATATATATATACTAGTACGATATATATAATCTATAACAGTATATAACGCGATTGCTTGTCCACACTTTCAATTGCCTTTGACAAGATATGTAAATACAATGACGCAACTTCTTTCTTTCTCTTTCTCTCTCTCACTTTCTATAATTATGAAGCCAAATCCTGACGGTCATGCGCGAATTAATATGCAACAAGGAGGACAATATATAGGATCCAATCATTTTCTGTTACAGATCTAATTTTGAAAAAACGAGATGTTGATTGGTCAGCTTGCAGGTCACATGTTATTCACTATCTAGAAATGCAACCATATAATCTTATGTATACTTTTTTAATAAGAGATAATTCTCTTAGTAATTAATAAAACATTAACATTCCAATGTTATCGCAATCGTCATTTCAGATAATTTTTTTCCTTTGTAAATTTATTCTTATTTATATAAATTCCCTTAATATATTCTAAATTTTCCTTAATACATATTATAAAAAAAAATTACAGTATGGGTTTTATTTTTAGATTTATTTTTTAGTAAAGGACACACAAGATTCTGTACAGAATGAATTATGCAATACTGCTGGCATTGGAGGCGATCCTTGGCCACAAATCTGCACATTCTTTCGCGACAGGTCCCGTGATAGCTGATCCTTTCATTTCACCCTTATTATTGACAATCACACCAGCATTGTCCTCAAAGTATATAAATGTTCCATCCTTCCTGCGAAATGGTTTCCGTTGTCGTATGACCACTGCAGGCATCACTGTAAATGATATCAATGTGCTATTATTCAAGATTTTTTTAAAAATATAAAAGTGACATTTTTCATCACAAGTAAAACAAAATGAAAGAAAGTGATTATTTACCCTTTTTTCTAAGTTCAGGCTTTCCCTTTTTCACAGTGGCTACGATCATATCACCGGATCCGGCTGCTGGCAGACGGTTCAACCGGCCCTTGATTCCTTGTACTGCAATGACATACAAGTTCTTGGCACCTAAAAAGACAGTTGTACCATTATAAAACATGTTATAGAAGAATGATTTCCTCAAGTAAAAAATTATAGTGTCAACATTCATACATATACAAATTAATTCTTTACAATTTTAAAGTATATGCTGTACAAAATTATATCTATACAAATGTTTTCTTGTTTCTATTATAATTCATAAGCTCTCAGAAAGAAGAAATTTATACTAATTGTATTACAGAGTGTCTAGTAAAATTTGAAAATAAAATTTAAGGACATTTCAAGGAAACTTGCACAATTTCCCAAAAATGTACAAGAAACTAAAAACTTATATTTCTTTATCAAGTTCATATAATTGCATGTTAATAAAAATTAATATATGTATTACAAATATTAAATACAATATTTTCTTTAAAATCTATAAGTAACTTATGCGTAATATATTTTTAGACTTCTAAATAAAAAATATATTATATGATTTACAAAATAAAATATTTTTACTCGAATAGTCTCAACTGCTCTTTTAGCTGAATGTTTAAAAGCAACGAAAAAATCAAAAAGCTATGAAAAATTTAAGCACATATTACTAGGATTTTTAAAGAACAAACAAAATTCCAGAACATTTCAAGGCTTTTAAGGACGACTAAACATCCTGTATTAGTATTGATTAAGCATATTGTCATTATTATTAAATCTTTTATTAGAATTTTTTTTTAGTAAATTCAATTGTGCACATAGTTTTCATGGAATTAATCAACAGACTGGAATACTCAATATTGTGAGATATTTTCGCTTTAAGATTAAATGAAAAAAAAAACACGTGCACTTTATCAGCAAACCGCGACATTGCTTTTTGAGGTTAGGTATTATGTTAAATAATTTTTTTGTGTACTTACCAGTATTATCGGCGCAATTGATAACCGCACCAACCGGTAAACCCAAGGATATCCTGAATTTGGCTCCAGCCGAACCACCACGTCCTTAAATGAGAATATATCGTATTAAAAAGTGACATGAGAGTGATCACCGATTTTGTACATATCAGTCATTAATAAGCTGTCAGTTTCGTTTCGTCAGACAGGCCGAACGTATTTTCGTCCTTTTGCCATTTAATTCGTAATCGATGCATCGTCCTGACACTGATTTTTATAGATTCTTCTCGTGCTCGATTACACTTACCTCTCTTCGACATCTTGAATTAATGGAAAAGAAGAAATATACGTACGATGTGAGATAGGGATGTTAATGACCAGGTGACGTAATCCCCAAATGTCAAATTCCCTAGTTTTGGTCTGTTCCTTTTTTTGACTTTTTTTTAGTGAAAACGTGAAGCGATAATTTCCGCCAATCACGCGTCAAATTGAAATGCAAAATTATTTGAAAATTAAATCTAACCTAAATTTGAATGTGTGAAAGTTTTATAAAAAATAGAGATAAATATATATATGTATATAAAATAAAATATAAATATTATGAAAAAATATCTATAAAAATAAGAAATCACAAGTACAGGTTCTTACAAATCAAAACAATAACAGTAAAACTTTAAAGTGATTTCAGAATTCAAATACGACAATGGCTAAAGTATTAAATCTACTGAAGACGATACGAAATAATTGGAAAAAATCTGTGTTTGGAGTTACAGCTTTCTCGTACGGAATTTCGTACGGTAAACAACAATACGAGTAAGAATTTTTCCTTATTTTTTATATTCATATTTGTAATATCCTGTACATTTGTTTACTCGCAATTATAAAAGAACTTTTATATTGGTAACTTTCATATACTTTTCTAATGATTTTTATGGATCTTTTATTGAATATAATTACATCAATGTATATTCTGTCCACTATTGTTTAGTGTGGAACAGTTAATGCGTGAGTGTTGTGAAGATGTAAGCAGATACGGAGATACTGTTTGTCCAACAAATGTCAAACCTCGCCATGTAACTGTTATTTTAAATCCAGCGGCCAGGAAAAGGTTGCCACAAAGTTTTCAATATTGCATAGAAATTCATTTATTCTTTGCTAATTATTTCTTTTTTTTTTTTTTTCAGGAAGGCCAAAAAGTTATTTGAGAAATATTGCGAGCCTCTATTGCATCTAGCTGGTATTTCAACAACTATTGTTGATGTACAATCAGGAAGTCATGCACGTAATGTAATAACAAATTTGGAAACTCCTACCGATGCTATTATTGTAGCAGGAGGAGATGGTACCTTGTCAGATGTTGTAACTGGTTTAATGAGGAGATATGAGCATAATCTTCATTCTGTTAAACAATGTCCCATTGGTGTTTTACCATTGGGAAACACAAATTCAATCGCGAGCATGTTTTATCAAGGATACAAAGATTTAGCTGATGTACATCACATGATTGACGCAACAATGGCAATTATTAAGAATAATCTTAAATCAATAGATGCTATTGAGATCAAACCGCTGGAGGTATATATCTTTATTGTTTTTCACTTTTTTTAAACGCTAATCAAATTCAGATTCAAATTTTATCAACTTTATTTTAAGAACAATCCAGAAGATCCCATAAAACCGGTCTATGCTGTAGGAAGCATAAAATGGGGAGCTTGGAGCGATACACATGCTCGTATTGATAAATATTGGTATTGGGCTTCCTTGCGCAAGTACATTTCTTAATTTCTTTAAAACAAAACTTTTTATACATGCATGCATCTTCTCTTATGTTCTCTCCTCTTGAATGCAATCAGGTATGCAGCTTATGTATTCAGTGGTTACAAATCCAATTTAAATTGGAAATGCAATGCAGTAATTAAATATACCAATCCTTGCAAAGGATGTTCACATTGTTACTCCAAAGATTCATCTTATAATCAGTCTACAAATTTGAATAGAAGATGGTGGCATGCATTTTTACCAAAGAAACAAACACTCATTTCTAGTAAATAAATATTTTTATATAATTGTAGAATAATGAACTATTTTTATACACAAACATACAAAATGTTATTAAAATAAAATAATGTACAAAATTACAAACTATAAAATATTGCAACAAATTTGAAAAATAAGTTTTTTGTATTAAAGTAGAAAAAAGGTACAGAGATAAATCAGATATTTTAATAACATATTATTTTTGTGTGGATTTACATATATTTTTAAATAGAAATTATATGATGTAATTTTATGAGATATATTTCAGATAATCATATCGATTATAGTAAAGTAGTGAATGAAGATTGTGGCACATTTTATGAGATACCTATTTCAACAACTGAACTATGTATAACAACAGAAAATGTAATGAATGTACAGGTCCAATCAACGCCTTCATTAAAGGTAGCTCTAGGTAATGGCAAATTTAAATATATTTATTATTTAAATTTGAAATATATATGTATTTAATGATAAAAGATTTGAAATTTAATTAATTACATCAAAGGTCCAGAAAATATTAGTTATATTGCATTTGTTGAGAAAGGATGGAAACAAGAAATGGACAATGAATTGCCAGTAAATTCGATATTAGATGCAAAAGATATTGAATTATATCCCGAAATGGTAAGCCACATTTTTTTATAAATATTAGTAAAATTGTTCTCATCAATATTGATAAGAACATCTTGGGAAAATGCATATTAAAGATTATTTCAATCATTTTATATTTTATCAATATTATCTATCTTTTACGAGATTTTAATAATATTAATGATTTTATATTTCAGAAGAAGGAAGATCAAATGTTTTACATTGACTACGAAGAGTACGAGTTAAAATCAATTCAAATTAAATTACTCTCACAATCTATAACAATATTCTATCCTGAATCATACAGATAACATATGTATCCAATAATATTAAAAGAACTATTCAAAATGTATATAAATGTACATATGTCGTATTTACTATTCCGTATACGGAATTTAATACTATACAGTATACACGATAATTTTTAATTTATTTAAAAACGCTAAAATATAAGAATAAAATATATTCGTTGATTAAAATATTATATATAAAAAGATTATTTAAAAATATTTGCTATAAAAAAATAATTTATTGTAGCGTACAAAAATATTTTGATTACATAACTGTCGTTAATTTACAGAATATATTTTTAATCTGATATAATAATCGTTTAGTATAACGTTTACTAAAGATTCGATTACATCAAAGTATACTTCTCTAATAATTTAATTGTTGTATTGTTTTTTCTTAAATTAATCTTTCTTTAAAAACTGTGTAAGATACATATTGTGAGTAATCTACTAAAACGTAATTGCTTTCTCAAAATCTTTATATACCTATATAACTTTTTGATAAGAATGTGTTTAACAAAAATTAACTACCTTATAAAGTAATAAACATTTTTACTATTTATAAAACTATACGTTATATTTATAAATATTTATAATAAAAATATTTTATTATTTAATATTTTTTAATCTATTCTCGTTTATCAAATACATTTCCATCAGAAAGTTTCGAGATATGGCTTAGTAGTAATTATAAGCTTGGATAATGTTTCAAAGGCCCCTGAAGGTCATCTATATTTAAAAATTCTTTTGTAACGAGATTTGGCTTAAATAAGACAATACTTTAAATATTATAATAACCGGGATCTCTGCAGACTGCAAGATAATAGATAGAAAAAGAATTCCAAAATCGTGAATCTATTATAATTTCTATCTATTCTATTGTCATTTATCTTTTTAAGATATATTCGATGATGGTATAATACTACTATTTTCCGAACAAGAATTCTTTTCGCAATCCTTACTCGTAACTTTGAAAAAGTTTAATAAAGAAACACTTTTTGTTGGTTTTGTCACTTTTTGAGGTTCAGTCGATCGCGACCTCTTGGATCTTCTTCCACTGGGAGTCACTTGAGTCTTAGGAGTAGACGGAATTGATTCTTGACTCTTGCTCTGTTCATATCTTTCTTTTCTAATTTTTGTCAACCAATCAACATTCTCCTTGTATTTTTGTGGTGAAATCTCTAACAAATGCGGCGCTGTACCGTCTATCACAAAATTTGGCAAGTTTGATGTAGGCGAGAAAGGAGTTTCTTCAGTCCTGTTTGGAATAAATTGGCTTGTGCTGGGCTCATCCGAATCGTAGTCTCTGTTCGAAGTAGTAGCAGTTTCGACGCCAGAACTAAATAGCCTTCGCATACCACGATTATCTGTATGAACTCGTTTTGCGATACTCTCGTGATTTTCATGAATAGGAGATAAGATATATTTTCGTTTTCCCTCAGATCTCGAGCCCATTGTCATTTGCAGGTAACTACGTTTAACAGGAATGTGCTTGTCTCTCTGATAGTCTTCATTACTAGATTCTGGAGTTGCAACTGTGGAGTTTAAATTCTATTTAAAATTAAGAAACTATTTATAAGGATATAAAAGAAGTTTTTCCTGATAATTTGCTAAAAAATTTATAAAATGATTCATTTCGAGATTTTTTAATGTACTAAATATTGAAAATTTTTATAAATTTTATACTGACAATGTTTTAAGCTTACCTGAAGTGTTATCTGAACTTGGTGTAGTTTCATGATAGGTGATCGAACGTCGAGAAGTAGTTGGGGTAGTTTCTATTTTCATATTTTCTAATGAATATTTTTCTACAATTTCGGCTCGGCCACATATTTTTATTTCTTCGTTTTCTATTTCGTGTTCCAAACCAACCTTCCATATTCTGTGGCGAGAATCATCAGAGCAAGTTACTATCTGCAATTATTTTTAGAATTAGAAAATATTGCATAAGACTGAAAATATGTAGATTATAATTCTTATTTTTCAGAATTGTCAAATAACAAACTTGAAAAGCATACAAATGATTTTAATTTTAATCTAATATAATAAATAATATTATATTTTATTATTTATATATTATATTAATATTTTATAATTTATGTAAATATTTATATTATATAAATATTTGAATATAAATTATTCATTTGTGTTATTATTAGTTACATATTATTATTGTCATTATAATTCTTTTGTTACATATAATATAAAATATAAATAAATATATATTAAGATTGGTTACCTTAGTTTCGCCAACACTACACCATGCAATACAAGTCACCTCTTCTGTGTGGCCGCAAAGTTTAACTAATGGTATTCCCGGTCTATTAGTGTGCCAAATATACGCCAATTCATCACTAGATCCACTGGCAAGATAGCGGCCATCAGAACTCAAACAAGTCTTTACATAGTATGTACGATTTTGATGACCATAATATTCTGCCACTGCCATAGAAAATTGTTAATTGTATTTTATTGAAATTGGAATATATATCAATGTATATTTTGAAAAAAAAACACTAACCTGGTTTGCGATTATATGACGATATGTTATAAGCATATACAATATTATCCATGCAACTTGCATACAATGTAATTCTAGCTGGACATATCAACAACGAAGAGAAGCCGTTCCTAGTACTATTTCCCGCGTAATTCATCAGATGCTTTGCTGCTGGTTCTTTCTTGTGGACAGTGTAATTCTTCCGCAAATCCCACACCTTTATTAAACTAAAGAATAAAGAAAAGATATAGATTATATATTCCTACACAGATATTTATAAATGTAGAGATAATCTTACCCATCGCCTGCAGCACATGAGAGTAATGTAAAATCATCTTGGAATACTAAACCAGTAATACTTTGCGCTCGACTATATGCCTTCCGTTTCGTATGGCCTGTAGTAACAATACTGTGTGCATTAGCAATGCAGTTATCTGGCTTAGGTTGATCGGTATGGTTGGCTCTAATATCCCATATCATAATAAAGCCATCTCTGGCACCCGTTGCAAAGACCGCTAAATTTTAAAAGATAATAAAGAACTCTAAATCCATTGATATATTATAATAAGCAATATTTTCAAATTATTTATGCAAATACATGCTCTATTACAACACATATTGATAAATTACAAATAAAAAAAATTATATTAATAAAATAAAATAAATTAAAATGTATTAAGATGTATCTCTATTTTGTTTGTGAAAATATATACTTTTCATGTATAACTTTTTTTAAAGAAACATAAATATTGATACTTCCTTTAAAACAAATAAGATACCTTTGTCCTGATAACGAAACACTGCTGTTTTTACACTTCGCGTGTGTGCATGAAAACAATTAATTTCTTTTATTTCAGGTCTAGAAACATCCAATAAACGTGCTGTATGATCTCCTGATGCTGTAACCAGTTTTAATTCCCCAGGCATCCATGCAATATCAAAGATAGCGTTACAATGTGCCTTAAAGAATATATTTTTTATTAACATGTCTGTACTCATATTGTGAAAAGCTCGTTCATTGAATCTATCAATCAAAATAAACAAGTCACCTGTGTTCCTCCCAATGGTTGATTAGAGTTTTGTTTAATTTTTGTATCTTGAATGGCAATTTTTCCATCTTCGTTTGCTAAAGCGAGCACTTCCTCGTATCCTGGCGTGGTGCAAAAACGGCATGCAAACACTGGTGGCTCAGGATTATAATCAGGAGCATTTACATTTGGTGCTACTCCACGATAAAGATCATCAGAGTGACATTTCAAGCGATAAAGAGCGATGTCATAATCATGTATCAATCCTGCAACAAAATGTCATGCAAATGTCAAAGTAGAGAGCCTTGTCATACAGTACATTATTACACTTTCATAATTAATAATTCACAATTAATTCATAATTAATCATTTTTAATATTTTTAATACTTAATAATTAATATTTTTTTATAATTAATAATTAATACATTTTTTTTAAACAAACTACTTGCTTATAAAATATAACTTTAAGCATACAATCGGCTATAATCACAATACAGATAACCTTTGTTTTCTCACGCAAAATATATATTTATTTTTAATCTCTCGCGTAAAACGCATGTATGCTTGTTTATTTACCAAATCCACGTTCTCGTCTTTGAACAGCATTTGTTATATTCATCTTTCACCGCATCAATATACGTTATAAAATTATTTTCAAAACTACTTCAAGTTATTGTTTACACGCACGATGTCATATACATATATACGCGGGAAATCTTATTTCGCGCAATTATTTTTGTAGGTTGTGTTTGTTTTCAAGTCGCACGATTGGCCATCGAATAGAGAAAGATTCGAGGGATAGTCTAATTAAAATGGGAAAGACAATATGGCGCAGCTAATAAAATTCGCCGTTCTGCATCGTCCATTTTGGGCGCCTGCTTGAAAACTCCCCTTGACAGTTCACACGTCGATGACGCAAACAGCTGATTTCGCCATAAATTTCTTCGTGCTCCGTCTGAGTCTCTTTTATGTTTTCTTTTGTTTATGCTTGAACACAACCAGGCACGGGATCCTCCGACAGAAAGATGGTGGTTACTGGAGACGATTGTCGTGACAGTGCGAAAGCAAATGTTACAGAAAACATGGAAAACAGCCAATCCGACGTTGAACTCGTTCCGAGAACCGAACAAAATATCGACGAGAGTAACGTGCGTCTTTTTATCTTTACTATACATTTATCGTTTATTTTTTGGCAGCCTTTTTTTTTTATAAAAAATTGTGTCTCTACAATTGAAGACATCGCACACTCACGCGTAGAGTTTACATTAGAATCTCTTTAAATATACATATTTTTTATGAAATGTGATATATCGTGAAATAATTGTGGGCATTGAAATTTAGAAAAATATTACAGTACCTCTCTTTTTAGTCTCGCACATACACGTACATACATATAGAAATATCGAAATATTTGATCCAAAACGTGATTGTAATTCTGAAATTTTTCTTACAGGCAGAAAATGACGAACAAAGAAGAAAGCCCCAGCCATCACGTTTAGAATCGTTCTTTGCTATAACAAAATCATTAATCATACGAGCCCTTATAATTTATTTTATTAGTAGCTTATTTAGACGCCCTGATAATAATCCCAAGTCTCCCAATGCTATTAGTGATACACATTCACAAGCTGTAAATATATTTACCAATGGGACATTGTTTGATCTTAGTATTTACCTGTCAGAAGCTGAAAATTTTAAACAGTTCAATGATCCACGAGCCTTAATTTGGTTCGAAGAAGGACTGATTTATGGAGATTGGTATAGCGGACCGAATCAGGATGGGTCCAGAACTTTTGAATATTCGTTTGTTCCTTCAGAACGTTTAAAACAAAATGGCTCTATTTATCTTCACATATACATAACAAAAAATGGAAAATCGCCAAATCCCAAAGCGGGCAAAGGAATTTATGCTGGCGATTATATGTCCTATTCAAGAAAAATGTTAAACAAGTTTAAAAGAATTAGATATCAGAAGAGGCACAACTTATTAACTGGTGAAAGTACTGCTAGTAAAGAGGAGATAGCAGTATGTTATTATCAATTTTTGAAATTTCTCTATTATATAAATTATATTACGTATGTTAATTGTGTATAAAATCTTATAGAAAGCTGAGTTGATGGATCAAGAATACGTGTCACACTGGCATCCAAATTTAACAGTTAATTTAGTGATTGATCAAACTAATTGGATGTTTGGCCAAGTACCGCAACCATTGGATGAATGTGAGAATTTATATTTATGTTATAATATGCAAATGTGTTGAGGATATACTTGACACTTTGTTCTTCTTTTAGATGTACATTTCTTACCTGGTGGAAATGCATATAAGCCAATAATATATACGAATGATTTCTGGAATATGCAACGAGATTATCAGCCATTGAATAATACTGTAGAACAATTAGAACTCAGATTGACTTATCAGCCACTTTCATTATTTAAGTGGCAAATTTATGCAGCCCAGTCTGGTAGAAATAAATGGACAGCATCGCTTATGGGTATGTTAAACTTTTAAAATGATATATATAATAAAACACACACATGTGTATATACATATATATATAATTTTACTATGTAAAAAAATTGCAACCACGTTTTATCTTTTATTATCATTGTCTATTTAGGAGAAGCCTCTGATGAGGATGATAACGATCAAGATACCTTAAAGGAAACTTTACTGGAAACAAATCCATATCTACTAGGATTGACTATAATTGTGTCAATTTTACATAGTGTATTTGAATTTTTAGCATTTAAAAATGGTAGGTAATTCAACAAATTTCTTCCTTTTACATATCAATAACAAATAATAAAAATACATTTACAATAATATAAAACGTTTTTTATTTTAGATATTCAATTTTGGAATAATCGGAAGTCTTTAGAAGGTCTGTCCGTTCGTTCTGTATTTTTCAATGTATTCCAGTCTCTCGTCGTTCTTCTTTATGTTCTGGACAACGAGACGAACACAGTTGTACGCATCAGTTGCGCGATAGGTTTATGCATCGAAGTATGGAAGATAAACAAAGTTATAGACATTAACGTCAATAGAGAAGTGAAAGTACTTGGAGTCTTTCCAAAGATATCATTCCAAGATAAGGGATCATACGTGGAGTCTTCTACAAAGGAATACGATAGACTTGCCTTTAAATATCTCTCATGGGCTTTGTACCCTCTGTTAGGTGGATACGCGATTTATTCTTTAATGTACTTGGAACATAAGGGATGGTATTCTTGGATTCTCAGTATGTTATATGGATTTTTGTTGACCTTCGGATTTATCATGATGACGCCACAGTTGTTTATCAATTACAAATTGAAGAGCGTCGCGCATCTTCCGTGGCGTATGCTATCGTACAAATTCCTGAATACGTTCATCGACGATATCTTTGCATTTGTGATAAAAATGCCAACCCTGTATAGAATCGGCTGCTTCCGCGACGATATTGTTTTCTGCATATTTTTGTACCAAAGATGGATATACAAGACCGATCATACTAGAGTGAATGAATTCGGGTTTTCCGGAGAGATGGAAGCACAACTGGCGGAGAATAAGAAACAGGTAGCAATTAATGATCGTCCGAAAGAGGAGCTAGCAAAAAAGAACGAATAATATTGTGATGTTTAAGTTTAGCATCAAACATAAATACGTTATATCCTGCGTTGTTTCCGAGAATTAATAAAATCGTCCGATACCAAAATAATATAATTTCACACATTTACATTTATTTATACAAATTTCCGCATATACTTGTGTGTATGTGTGTGTGTACATGTATATTCTATTGAAGTTTCCGAATCCACATATGCTATATGAGCATACTGCGATGTGCATTGTGAAGCAAAATAGCGAACAATTTCTGCTGAAAACGTCTCGATTCTTTTTCTATGCAAATTTATGTACAAACAATAATGTATTACGAAAAGATCAAAGTTATCAAACGAGCTTTCATGATGTATATCTCATAATCTCTTATATAAAAAAATAAATGTAGATTGTATGCTCAGTAGCATTTGACATTCGTGTAAATGTCTAACTGTAAAGTGAATATTCGCAACTGAATATACTGCGAAAAACATCATCCTATTAGTTTCGATATTTAATCAAACACACATGAGAACCTTAATGCGTATGACGATTTCAGACAATGTTAGTATAATCATATTATCGGACGAGATGTTGCTCTACGAAATAAAATTAGTTTAATTATTACATATCTTATATGTGTATTATTTTTTTTATAACAGATAAATTCGTATTCCTCTTTATTACGTCACGATGCTTTATGAAAGTACATAAAGATGCATCTAGTATCATTTTTAAGAAAATTCGAGAGCATTGATTTTGGAGATTCTACATAAAATCATATTTATTATCACTATTATTATTATTATATATTACATTAGTATTACAAATACATTGAACATATGTTTAACATTATAGTTTATATTTTGTTAGAGTAATTGTATAATTAAATTACTTACGTCTCTATTTTGTGGACAATATACATTTGTTATATATATGCATTTATTACATATTGTAGGTACTCGTTTCTGAGTAAAGTTGATTTATAGTGTAATTCATGAGCAGCATTGCACGCTAATGTGCGATGTAAAGTTTTAATAAAAAATAAAAAAATAAGAAAATGAGAAATGTTCGAAAGAAATATAGTGATTTACATATTGTAACGTAATATGGAGAAGTTATTTAGAAAGATTGGACTATAAAAATTATCTCGTTTATAATAAATAAATCATCCTCTCAATTGTTATTTTATTATTTCTCGTGTGAAAAAGAAGGAAATTTAATGTAAAACGTGTGTTCAATAAGTTTATAATTGTTTAAAAGAATATTAATTGTTTTCATTTGGAGAAAAATTCACTCTTACATTATATCGATAGGAAAACACACGTTAAACGCAAAACAACGAGTATATTTATTCGAATCTATATTATAAACTTTAAGCTTTAAATCGAACGCTTATATTTCTTTGTATTATTTTATATCATTTTTCTGCGCGAACGACTAAACGTAACAAATACAAAATTTATCTCGTATTAAATCGCACAGTAAATTACAAAGTATTAAATTACAGTAATTACGAACTGTGAAACTATAACAGTAGTAAACATTCTATGCGAAAAGAATCTTCCTTACAAGAATAATATATATTTATATACATAAAGGAATGGAAAAACTCAAGTACACTTTTTGATATTTTCTGTGATTTATGTTTATACTATGAACAATACGTAGTTTTCTATTTTCTTTTTCGTTTTTTTTTCTTTCTTACAAAAAGGCACTTTTTTCGCGTGTAATATGCATATTTGTCAGAAAGCTCCTTTGTGCACGTATGATACAATATAGAATAAAATTTTTCTCCCTGGTTTTTTTATATTTAATATTATATATATCTAAGATATTTCGACAATCAAGACAAAAAAATTGAAGCTAGTATTATAAAGAAATATCGTACACACATTTTTTCGATTTTAATATTTATGTTATCTCTAATAATACTATAATATTATACTAATATATTATATGAAAATTTATATATACCGATATATGAATTTTGTTAGTATCGGAATATATATTGATTTAAATACCAAATGCGAAAATAAAAATATGTAATTATCGCTATATGTGTCCAAACAGTTCAAAGTTCAACAATAGATTAAAAAGAAATAATTTAATTGAATTTGAATTTAATTGCAAATGTGTAACTTTCTAAAACAAAAAGTTACAAATAATTTAATGTTTAATTTAATCCATACATTTTTGACAATAGAAATAATAACGCAAATATATAATTTAGCGTTTCTTCTTGGTATATAAAATCATAGAAAATGATTAATTTTGTACAACTCTTTCAAGTTAGAAAATTTAATTCGAGTAATCTTTATTTAAAAATGTCGAATTTTCTTTGAAATTTGTCAACTATATATCCTAAATAGTAATTTATTTCAACGCTGGACTCGAAGGTTAATTGCAATATTTTATTGCATTATCTAAAATTTTATGGATGGCAAGAAATTTCTTTTTAGTTTTTATAAGAGATTGAAGGTAAGTTTTTACGAGCATTATTGATAAAGTGTCGTATAAAGATACCATCACAAAGCCAAATTTCATAAAACGACAAATTGTAATAATACTAGACGAAAAAATATAATTTGACATTACATGTAAATTTTATCAATGACGGGTGCGTAATAAACTATACTCAATATCGTTATTTAAATTTAAAATTTAACAATCTATATAAAGCATTTTTTAAATTATGATTTAATATAGTTAATGTCACATGTGTTTTTGTAGTTTTGTGAAAAAGGCTTGTAGCAATTATGTAAGTTATATCAAATTAATGTGCTGGTAAAATTTGTATTGCATATATTATAACATATCTCATATATGCTTACCATTATACAAATTATATTTAATACTACTTTCTTTTTCATCATTATCTTAATTAAATTTCTTTTTTTTAAGGACAAATTCTTTACATCTTTTTCATAAATATTAAATTATATCCTGTGCAGTATTTCCCTTCTAAGTAATAAAATTTTAATATTATAAAAGAATAATTTCATTTTAAACAGCCTCTCTTACAAATAAAAAACACATAAAGCAAGTACACTTTTATACTAATACTTTCAAAAACATCTAATACTAATATAAGGCTAAAGAATCAAAAATACTATATAAACACTTAGTACATACGTGATTTTTTGATCACTATATAAAATTATAGGGAATTTTAAAAACACTGGTTTAAATATAATTGACTTATGAATGCCAGTAAACTGTTGAAGAGCAAAAAAAGTATGCGGGGAATTAGTATTATTTATAGGAATCCTCGATAAATGCGATTTTTCTCTTTCTCTCTCTCTCTACTCTTTATAAAATAGGCACAGAGATGTTATTTAACTATACTTTGGATAATGCATGAAACTTTATAAAGAGATAAAATATATATACAGTAAAATGTGATGTTACATTACTTTTCTAAATACTTGTGCTGCATACAAAATGTATGCTGAATTGAAATTGCTATTTTTAACAGCATTGTTCGCTTTATAGCAAGCGATTTATAAAAATAAGATATTGCGCCATTATACATAAGTGGTACTGAACTCTGGCTTAAAATTAACTTGTACCAGTTTCTATTAAGGTAGATAGATAGGTAGGCATGTAACAGATATTGGATTAATATACATTTCGCCTTGATCTATATCACATTGTGTGATGTAACAGTGAAAATAAATTATATCATTATTGCGACTGATTGTTAGATGTAAAAAAAAAATAAAATAAAATGCATATTCTTTAATAAAAGATATAATTTATGGGGGAAAAATTCATGTGCACTCACATGTACAGAACACATGTTGAATATTATGTTATTATAGAGCAGCAATACGACAACAATATTTTTAAAAGCTCGATTTAAACTGATGCATTGGAGCTCTTTATTAGTTTTTTTTTTGAGTGAACACACTTTTATTGATCACTCATACATATTTGTGTGCCATTATAGTCTTACTTTAATAATTGAAATTATATTAATGAGTATATAATTTAATATATATATATATATCCGGAAGTTGTTAGATGTGAAATCTCTATTTTTTCAAATATTTTAAGAACTTAAAAATTCTAGTAAACTTTGATTTATTTCTTGCAAACATTACGTTAATAAATTGTTGTTCAAAAATTATTTAAAACTTATAGTTTGTAAGATAATTCGTTCATATCTTTTATATTATTTAAACATTAATTAAACATTGTTTTAGAAATAATTCTAAAAATTTAATATTTTCACATGAAAATATTTGTAATATTTTTATATTATTTTTAATCATAGGTTATTGATAAAGATAGATCGTTGAAAGAGAAATATAGTACAAGAGAGTAATAATGAAAAATAATTTACTTGTACTCTATTTACCAAAATGCTAACATATTTATCACGCGGGAGTTCCACCTCATAACTGCCCGGTTTCAATTTTGAAATAATTAATAAATAATTAAATTAGCTAAATACAAATAAAGTGTCGCATTGCTTGTAATGAAAGAAGCTACAAAACTTATTCTAGAATATAAGGAGTCAATATAATATCGCAAATCGACGATACAATCGGGAAGAATAGTTCCTCATAGAATAAAATCTGGCAACAATTTTGAGGAGGAATCAGAGATATATATATTACATCGTCGATTGCGCTAAACGCTCACCTTTTTTCTTTTCTTTGCATAGAAATATTTTACCATTTTACAAATTAAGTTTTTCTGTATCATACTAAGGCTATGCGTTGTTTGTTCTACGGCTTTCCTTTGATTGGAACGTTGGCTCGTGAATAATGTATAGCTGCTAAAAAAAGAATCATTATTATATACATTTCAAGCAGCTAGACCTGCGTCCTTTGCCATACTGTAGAAAGAACTAGATAGATTGCGAAGTAGCACTTCTGGAGAATCATATTCAACAATCAGACCTTTATCCAACACAATCACCCTGAAACATTTTTATTTGTTTTATAATTTTTATTATTTTATTATTAACAAAAGTCAATAATATAAAAAATGTTTATAATTCTAATCATTAATGTAATAGGAAAAATATAAATCCGTTATAAAAAAAATGTTGATGTAACATTTAAACACATACCTATCTGAATCTAGAATAGTGTTGAGTCTATGAGCTATTGTAAGAACTGTACAATGCTTAAATTCTTGGCGAATGGTAGTTTGTATTAGATCATCCGTTTCTAAATCAACAGCGGCTGTTGCCTCATCCAATATGAGAACCTTCGTTTTTCTAAGTAACGCTCTCGCCAAACAGATCAATTGTCGTTGTCCGACACTTAAATTTTCCCCGCCTTCAGTGACTTCGTGTAAAAGAGCATTTGGCAAGTCTGAAATGAGATATTAAACAAATTATAGATTATTTTCCAAAGTATGTTGTAGAGTTGTCGAAAATATTCTAAAGGAAGATTACTTGCAGAAATATACTACAACATACTTTTTATAAATGATTTTAGGTGAGCGTGTTCCAACGCTTTCCAGATCTCCTCGTCGTTATGATAATCGAAAGGATCCAGATTCATTCTCAGTGTTCCGGAAAACAATACGGGATCCTGCGGAATAATGGTCAATCTCGAACGCAGATCATGAAGACCCAGCTTGGAAATATCAACATCGTCGATCAAGATCTTCCCATGAGCCGCCTCGATTATTCTAAAGAGCGCCAGAGTCAAGGATGATTTTCCGGCGCCGGTTCTGCCCACGATGCCGATCTTCTCACCGCCGTGCACGCTAAACGTTAAACCGTTCAGCACGAGATCTAATCCCTCCCTGTAGCGAACCTGAAAATTCTTGAAATCGACACGACCATTCATAGGCCACTCTTTCGGAGGCGTATACTCCGTATTCTTCCATGGTGCTTCCTGCTTCGTGTCTCCGTACTCTTTTATTCTCTCTACCGCGACAATGTTGGTCTCGACATCGGATGTCATACGTACCAGCCAGTTTAAGGTTTGGGTAATCTAATGTAACAGAAGAACGTAAATTGCAATCTTTCTTCACAAAATATTCGACATGCATAATAACTATAACAATTCTTTAAGAGTTTTGCATATTTTAATTTAGCTTTAATTAATATAATATTGCATTAATATATATATATATATATATATATATATATATATGAACAATCACTAAATTTCAACCTTCCAGAAACCAAACTGATCAAACTACTTATTTGTAAAAATCTTAATTTCTTAATCAAAGCATACAATTAGTACTTCAGCTAATGAATAATGTCAGTTTTTGAGAAATTCATGTATGCATCTATTACGATATCTTACTTGTAAGGCATAGCTGACTGATAGACCGACAAGTCCTGAACTCATAGTATCTCTACCCAAAACAGCAAACAATGCTGCGAAGAATATAATTAAATTTCCAACCATTTCCAGTCTCACGGCCAACCATCTACAACATATCAATTTTAATTAATAATTAAACTAAAAATTATGTATAGAAGAAATTGTTGAATATTTTACATTGATATATACCTGTTTGAAATAATACTAGGATAATAACACACTTGATTGAAGTCTACTCTATTTTCAGACTCTTGGATAAATTGTTCTTGTACGCCATATGCTCTAATTATTTGTGCACCTAAAAATAAAATATACAGATTATTGTTTAATATTTAGAGATAAAAATGAGCAATATATTGTAGAGTATGCATATGTATATAAGAACATACCGGTCACCGATTCACTAAAATGCGAATATATAGGAGATCTGGAAACAGATTCTAATCGTTTTAATTGGCGCGACGTCGCAACGTAAAAACGTTGAATAAAATAATAAATCGCACCTATTGGCAGTATCACCACGATAAATATAGGTGTACTGTAGCTTATTACAACAAGAGTGGCTATGACCTGTAATGCATACAATTATTAATAACATTGGAAAAGTACATTTTATTATTTTTCGTATAATGTATAATGTAAGGTGTGATAATATCTCTGTAATGCAATATAAATTAATCAGAACAAAAGGAAAATATCTAAAATGTGTGTGATGACTGTATCAACAAAAATATTAATCGAATAAACCATTTCTATAAGAAAAATATAAATAAAGAGATGATAATCACATGCAAAACTTTATAGCAGAAGCACTCGTTTTTTTTTATAGACAGCAGTTGTTTATATAAAAAACAAGAAGACAAATTGACAAAGTTGTTTTATAGGCCCACTAACATGTATCACGAATATGATTATATTGCTATGCATTAGACAAGTACAAATATAAGCATTAACGTCAAAAATATATTTTTTTTAATCATAATCGATACTCTGTTAGTGTCTTCTACTGACATACTATGGTAGTAATCCATCGACTGCAGTCATTCTACGAAAACGGACACAATTATACTTAAATATTCTACAGCACATTTATTTCACATATATTTCAAATGTATATTTGTTCGCAAAATTTGTCACCAGTTTTTAAAGCTAGTGAAAATCAAGTTCACACAGATATTCAGTGTACAGTATACTAATACCATAATCATTATTCACAAGCATTTTTTTACACAAAAATTATTATATTTGATTGCAACCTGTAATGTTTTCTACGCACAGTGATGGAAACTGAAGATGAATGATATGGAAAATCCTGGATGAAGTTGAGAAGATAAATGGGAAAGCAATGATAAGAATCCCAACAACAGATTATTCTCTGCGCTCTGTTACGAAAAGATTACCTCGAACAGGCAATAGATGGTATCAGAAATTTGTGGAGGAAGAGATGTATCCAGTATGTCCACGTCTTTAGCAAACCTGGAGATAATACGACCAATAGGAGTCGTATCAAAGAAGGTCAATGGAGCACGCATCACAGCACGCAGCATCACTATGTGCATCTGACGAGCAGCCAACCAACAGCCCAGCTGCGGTGCCAAATCGCAGAAAAAGCTCGCCATCGCTACAACATCAGACATGGATAACTTTCATTGTAACCGCATTCTTTTTTTTTTTATTTGATTTGTGAAATTGATCACGCAAATCAATCGATTAATAAATATCAATCAATTAAAAATTTCACAAACAAATATATGCGCTGAGCAAGATATATGCATGATAAGAAAAATTTTTCCTTTTTTGCGAGTGCTGTTTTTTATATTTAAATTTTTTTTCTGTGTTTAAACTTTTTTTCAACACGAATTGTTATCTTTAATAAATTACAAAATAAGCTGCAAGAAATAAGAAATTTATTTATTTTTTTATTGCTCGTAATATTGCTCGATATTGAAATGCATCTGCAATATCATGAACTTAAACTACTGTTTTTGTCTCATGTTATGCGAAGGTGTGAAGTTTGCTGTGACCAGACATATAGCAATGGGAAATATAAATTTAAAAAATTATATATTACTAGAAGGCAGAACCGCAATTACATGTTATATAAGCAAATATAGAGAGTAAGCATTATCAACAAGCACAAGCAAAATCATTTCTGTACACGAATATTACTGGTATAATTGTGTCCATTCGCTGATTACTACTACTATGTATAGTTGCATTATAATTATACATATGTAATAATTATAAATTAACAAATAATATGGCTAGAACGCTCTTATCGTAAATAACACGGATAGAGAATGTATCGCTGTGAAGAGCCAAATATAATACTTAGCAAATTCGCTAACAATAAGATGAGAAACAATCTCAAATCGAGATTTAAGTTCCTCTTCCCTTTACCCCCCCCTAAAATTGTTTCTCATCTTAGCAAATTTGCTAAGTATTATATTTGGTTCTTCACAGCAATATATTCTCTATCCTTGTTAATTATAAATTAATTACATATGAGAGATGAATTAAATTAAGGTTTAAAAAATAACATAATCTTCTCAAACAGTATAACTGAAAAAACTCAATATAAATGTAAAATAAATTCAACATAAAATTATTACGTTGGATTTTGTAAAACGATATAAAAATGATGATTTTTTAAGCAAATTCCCATCTTGAGCCGATATAAAAAATTATTATTATGTAACGGTAACATCTCTGAGATATCACACACAGATCCAAAACACATACATATACACATAATAATAAATGAAAATGAACATTATTAATAATTAACATTCAAGAAGAAGAAAAAGAACATCAAGATATCCTAGAATCCTTGAAATAAAGAAAATAATTTATAAATTGTTATAATTATCATTCGATTAATAAATTTTGTGATATTATGTGATATTACACAATGTGATATAAAATCCGATAGGAACACATTCACGTTTCATTGAATAATAAATTACATCTTACATATTTATAAAATAACAAAAAAAGAATAGTTAAGTTCTTTTCATAAAAAAAAATTCCTCAAATACAATTTTGCAAGTATTTCTTTTTTTACACTGTTAAAAATCAATTACTTATTAATCGCATTTCGTAGACAAATACATGATGTTTCTTTCCGTCAAAGTTTCTCGCTCTAGATATATACTTGAAAAGACGAATATCATTAGCAGAAACATTTCTTTCGAATTTACAAAAAAAATCAGATTGAAGAATTAAGTAATCGTTACAGAATACGTTGTTACCTCATCGGCTGAACATACAAACGCACAGGTAAACCGCTATGCTATTCAATATAAATTGCAGTCAAGTAAGCAGCATTTTGAGAACACTTTTTATCCTTTCATGTCTACATGCATTCGTTGATCCATCATATTGTATTGATTGCAACAACTTATATACATATACATATAAAGTAGCTTACCCGTGCTCATGTACATACACCTAGTCGACAAGCTAACGACATATTACTATTGTCTTGTAGTTTTTTCCTAAAATTTCAAGCGTTGTTATTCAATCGAAATATAATAACTCCAACTTTTCACATTTTCAAATAAAAAAAGATCAGATACAAATTTGATAAAGTACATTGTTATTATGAATCCGCATCTTTTCAAGTGTATCTCCGCATTTCTTAAATATTCAGAATAATTACACGTGATATAAAAAAGAGAGAAAATAAAGGAAACAAAATTATTGACTTATCGATAGTTATTTTAAATTAAAATACCATATATAAAATAAATTATCGAAGTAAAACGTGAATCATTTATAAGTATAATAAAAGAAATAAGGGATTAATTATATCACAATACTGTGTAAAAAATAAATTTGCAATATACGATTAAATTAAAATAAAAAGAGATACAAAACTGTAGCAAATATATTTGACAGTAAAAAGAGATGTAATATTAATAACTGTCAGAATCATTACTTATGCGTGTACTAATGTGCGTAGAGTTACATGAAAATATCATACCGAAAAGAGGCAAGTGATCCAAGAACGTAGAATAAGTGGTAGAACATTGTCAACGATATCAATGTCTTTACCAAGTCGACTAAGGATTCGACCAATCGGAGTTCTGTCAAAAAACGACATTGGGTTGCGAAGAACGTTGAGTAGTGTATTCTCGAAGAGACGACTAGAAGCGATTACCGTCCCTTTAGCCAGGAATAGCGCCATTGCGAATACCGTCACGCCTACAACGATCATGGTGATCAACTTTGATTTCGGATAAAATGACAGATTATATATCAGATTTTTTATGCTTTTGCGATTAATAATACGCCGTTTTCGAATGAACGAGAAAGATATATATTAGGACTTCATATAATCGGCAATGTTCATTTTCATAATTGCTCATCACTTCATCTAATTCCATATGCAAGTTCCTCACTGCAGTCACACATGAATTGAGGTGTAATGTAATTAAAAAATATATATATATAAATATAAATAAATATATGTAGAAAATAAACGAGAGGGAAAAAGAGAAAAGTGTAAAATAATAATAATAAGAAAAGAAATCGTACGAAAACTAGTTCAAGATTATATACTGTGAAAAAACATACATAATGTTGCTAATTACATAATTAATTCATTCCATGCAATTACGTTTGATTTATTAATTCATCACTAATGCGCTTCTAATCATCATCTATCGGTCACTAATGAAGAATAGAAACTGTTTGTGAGAAAAGATCACTTATGAAAGCTCTTTTTTAATTCGTCAGTGCTAATTAATCATATTTGTATCGATTGGTGGACCAATATGATTCTGCCTATGCTATACATTAAATTATATGTGAAATACACATAGAAAGAAAGAGAAAGAGATAGAGAAAGAGATTAACACTAAATTCTCGCATACCGATGCTAGACAAAACAACCAAGCCCTAATACTTGGAGGTAAAATGTTGTCTATTATGTCAATATCCTTCCCAAAACGGTTTAATAATCTGCCGGACGGTGTAGTGTCAAAGAATCCTAGAGGTAATCGCAGTATGGCAAACAATAATTCTGAATGCAGAAGTTTACTGCTCCGCAGACATCCAATAACCAATGCTGTCTGCGCCAGCACTACAAAAATGGCTGAAATTTAATGTAAAATTGATTTAAAAATATAGCATTTTATCTCGTGTTCATATTTTATCAGAAAAAAATCTGTTTTTACTATTGATTCGCTGATAGCACTATAAGAAAAAAATTATTTTTATACTTTACATCTTTTTATCGACTAGCAATTAACTCGTTAATGCGTGCACATCGTTAAATTCAAATGTTACACTGCGTTTATTATGTAAGATAAAAATGTGTGATGTGTTAAGTGTTAGATTTGTTTCGTAAACAGAAACATAATTATATTAATATAGCATTAATGTAATCATATTAATATAGCAGAAATTTAATTACATTAATGTGGCATTAATCATTAATGCTATTAAATGTATTAATGACAAAACATAAAAAGCGAATCTAGCTAAATTATTTGACTTGAGATGGAAATAAATTCATGGTATATTTCAAGTAGTATGTCTTGCTAATATTGCTATAGTATATGCAATTCTAAATCTGTCTTATTTTGCTCGATACGCAAAAGTTTGCATACAATCATCTAAGTAAATAATGAGACATAAATATATCATGAGAGAAAATATATGAATATGTTGATGCACATACTCGACTGTCAAATTAAGTCTATTGTCTCTTATTATTACGATATGTACGATAAGCAATCCGAGTAAGTTTAATATTAAAATTGTATGCTCTTATTTAGAATAGAAATTGAAACGTAAATACATAAAACTGATAAGAGTCTAGTTTCAAACTAAGGAGAAAAATGATAAGAAAACGACTGGCAAATAAGATATGTCTCAAATGATCTCTCTCCGTCTGAAGTCTGTTTTCTAAATTAACACACGTTAAATACTAAACTTTCTACAGTCATCCTAATTTACACGCAATTATCTGATCAGGAAATCAGTGTAAATTTTGGTCTGTGTTTAAATAAGAACTTTTTAGTTTTTAATTTACAATTACAATTTATCTCATAACAATTTTAATTAAGAATTTTAGCGCGTATTCATATTCAAATAGCCTATTAATCTATACATACTGATTTCCTGTGTCTATTATTTTGAAACACATTGATGATAGCAAGCTTTCTTCTCTTTTTCTACTTCATGCTTATATTAGATGTTGGATAATAACATATTATTAAATAGTTTATATTTCTTTTATTTTCGAAGTAAGCTTTAAAGATAGACAGAACATTACGATTTACAGTTTAGCCGATTAAAGTTCAGCAAATAAAACTGATAGCACAATGAAAATTTTCTTATTCTCTGTATCATTTTAGAACTATAAAAATCACAAAAAAATACATATACACATTCAATGATTGTACTATTTTAATGCGTTAATCAATTATTTTTGTACCACTCTTTGTTCATATAATCATTAGATACATCTTTTTCACGTAAAAAAATTAGATTAAGAAAAAATTAAAACAAAAAAATAACAAAAGATGCAAATTGCATCTGCATGAAAAGCATTTCAAACAAAAACATTTTTCATGCAATAACAAGGAAGCGATCATTCGTAAAAAATTATCACTACGACACTTGCAATCAAAGACATGACTACTGAAAGGTTTTAATTTTAAATCGATTTTTAAGTAATTAATTAATATATTAGAATAGTGTAGACACAGCAAACCACACTCGTTTGGTTTTTTAAGAAATTATCCTAATAATTTTTAAATTTTAACATGTAGCGGGTACAAAATACATTGGCTAAAATAAACATATAATTCAAAACGATAAAAATTACACTTTTGAAAAATTACACCAGAGTTAGTAGTTAAATCACAATCGAAGTTTTTATGATTTATTAAAAATTCAGCTCAATGGAGTTTCAGATCTATTAAAAAAAACTATGTTAAGAGTAGTTATCCCAATAATGTGTAATCTGTGAGGGAACATGCCTTTCAAATCACTATATACTATGACGAGCAAAAATAAGTGCCATTGCCTATATTGAATGAATTACCGTCTGCGAGAAAAAGAAGGGATATTTATACAAATACACGTAGCAGCGGCAGGGATAAGCTTACCTGAATACCGAAAACGTTCTTTATTGAGTGCGCTCCATTGGACGCTACAAAAGTTTCAAAGTGTCTCATCAATCAAAAAACGAAAGGATCGAACATTTCTTTGCCTTACTTGATCGATCAAACAATCAAACGAAACTTTCGTTGCATTCAACGAATCGCACCCGTGTAAACGCGAAGTTTTAAACAATAACTAATCGGATCTATCTGTCAAATGGACAAAAGATCAATGTATCATACAAAAAAGAGAAAGAGAGAGAGAGAGAGAGAGAGAGAGAGAGAGAGAGAGAGAGAGAGAAAGAGAAACATACCTTGTCCAAGACCAAGTACACCGTATACTCCGAGGTACATGTCTCGTTTCGCCGTGTCGACTGTGTCGTTCACGATGGTTAGATTATCATTCGCCCAAACGCTGAGCCAAACGCTTGAACCGATGCTGAATGATTGGAAGACCGCGTTCATCACGATCGTTGATATCGATAAGAACCATCCAATAGATTTCAAATAGTAAGAATACACTTTCCATTTTACCTAGTAGAGAAATATAATACGTAAGTATAAAAAGCAATTCTCTTTTTCTTATTAAAAAAATTGTTTATATACATATAGAATTACACTATAGAAGAATTTTATAAGAATTTTTTAAATTAATAGTTACTCACAATAAAAAATATTAATAAATCGATTACAATAAAATATAAAATGTTTGATTAATTTTACTACAATATATAGTAAAATTTCAATAATTTTAAAATATATTAAAAACCATGTTAAAAACTTATGATTATTTAAGTGTTTTCAATAAATGTCAAAAAAATTATAAACAAAATATTTTCTTTAAATTTTACAATGTAACATAACATTTTCAATCTGGCTTAATCGATCATGATAATTTTAACATGTAGCATGGCAATTTTTGACTTATTAAGAACATGATAAAATTTATAGTTAATTTTGTGATAAAATATAAAGAAAAATTCTTTTCGTGTATATGTGTTTCGTGTATATTCTAAAAATCAACAGAATACATACACTTCCAGTTTCCGCTTTTTCGACTTCTATTAGTTTCTCCCCGACGTTATTAGATTTCGGTCCCTCTTTCTCTATCATACTATTGCTATGCAAATAATTCGCCGATTGTTGACTTTCTGTCGAATATTGCCTATTCACGCATAAATACATTATTTATAATCAAATATATAATCAAACATGTACTTAAATTCCTGTTATTATATTTACAAAATTCAAAATATGTTGAAAACTACTTTACCTTTTTAAAGAACCATTGAGCGATTTTCTATCAGTCATAGAACCAGATTCGCTTAGACTCTCGGATATTCTTGATCGTACTCGAGTTAATTTCTGCTGTAACTCGTCTGCTCCTATTGTTGATTCAAGTTGTTGTTTAATTTCTCGTAAATCTGCTTCGGAACCTTCATCAACGTGCACTGTTTCAAATTAGTCATATTGATCTTAGAATATTGAACAACCTCATTCGCATTAAGATGTATTAATGTAAAAATGGGAAAAAATTTAAGAAATTGTCATGCGTACTTTTTAAATTAGAATTTAAAAGGAAATTAGAATTAAATTAATATTTGGATTAAATTAGAATCCCATCTATCTATGCGTATTCAGAATGAAAATTTCAAACATTTCAGTTTAATAACTTGAGAAAATTTCAATATAAACACTTGCATTAAAGAATCTTTTAAATTTCAATAAAGTGCACGCAACATGCATTAAAAAATTCCATTTTATCAAAGCTTTTTTTCTGTTTACATTAAATCACAACTAGTTATAATGATAACTACTTATTATTTCTAACTGAACAATACTTATTACTGTTTTGCTGGCAAACATATAATGTTCAAGACACAAGGGACTTCAAATTTAATAAAGTATTTCATGGACAACAATAAATCTAATACTAAAAGCGAATATGACAGCAAATATTTCTGTATTATGCAAGCATATACGAAATAGGAACAGGAATTGTAATTACTTTTTCGCGGACTTACGATTTCCAACTTAGATCCATGAAAAAAAAATATAACAATAAATTTTATAATAGATATAATAATAAAAATACGCGCAACAAAGTTGAATTATTATTAATAGATACCTTCTTGTAAGTGATGCACTAAGAACTCTGCGAAGGCGCCCTTTTTCTCTAACAGTTGCTTGTAAGTTCCGCTCTCCGTTATCTCGCCATCTTTAAGAACGATAACATTATCGACCTCTGGCAGATACGTGATACCATGTGTAACAAGTACTCTCGTCTTCTTCTTCAGCAGACCGTTCGGACCTATCACATTCTCAAATATGTGTTTTCCTACATGCGAATCTACCGCGCTCAAAGGATCGTCTAAGAAATAACTTTCCGAATCGTTATATACAGCTCTTGCTAAGGCCACTCTCTGCTTTTGACCACCAGACAGATTTATGCCTTTCTCCCCAATCTCTGTTTGATCTCCCGCAGGTAACATCTTGAGATCCGGGGTTAATGCACACGCTTCGATCACACGATTGTATATCGATTTGTTTAAGGCCTTTCCGAATAGTACATTGTCCTGCAAAGTGGCATTTTGTATCCACGGTTGCTGAGAGACATATGCAATCGAGCCCTGCAAACGAAAAATATATAAAAATATATTTAAAAAATAAATCTCCAGATTCTAATCTATATCTTTTTTTAAATTAATTTATTAATTTATTTCATTTTTATTTATTTAATTTTAAAAATGTACAAAAATATACACAAACTACACAATTTTTCAATTTTGTTTTAATTTAATAATTTCATCTATATATATTTTGGCCTGCATCATTACTAGAAGACAAAAAAACACGAGATATAATGTACATTTATGCAGTTACATTTCCAATTTATATTTGAAGAAAAAAAAGAAGTTTAAACTCTTTTTCTCTCTATCTACTCATGTAAATATATTTTTAATTTTACTATATTATAATTTTTATAAAATAGAAGAAATTTATTCTTTGCTTCTACTTTATATTTATAATTTAACAAAATAAAATACTCACTTTTGTGTTTACTTTCCCATTTAATTTCTCCATCTCGCCAAGCATAGCAGATAGAAGGGATGTCTTGCCTGATCCCACTGTACCAACTATTGCTACTAATTGACCTTGTTCTACATGGAAATTGATATTTTGCAGTATTGGTCTCTCAATGTGTTCATTGTCCCAACAGAAGCTACCGTTCTCAATTACTAACGCGTGAGCTAAATTAATGTGATTGTGTGTTACTACAAATGTATTATATACACTATGCATATAAGAATGATCATTTATTAAAAAAAAATGTTATTTTACCTTCTGATGGATCATGCTGTACATTATTAGGATCCAACTCCTCCATGTTCATAAATTTATTGATGCGTTTTACAGAGACATAAGCCTAAATGCAAAATCACATAAATAATATTATTAGTAAAAAATAAAACAAACTGAATATATATCTGTAATTGCATAAAAAGATAGCTTGAATTATATAAACTTACTTGAACTATATTACCAATCATCATGGGCAGCATAGAAAGTGGAAATCTTAAGATGTTGAACAAACTGAGCGAAACAAAGGCAGTTGTACTGTCTAGGACATTCTTTTCGTCTATAAGTACATAAGTTGTAAAAGATACCAGTGATACCTGCACATTTATGAAAAAAAGAATAAGACAATATATAAAAAAAGGAGAAAAAATATATAATTAAATATATTTTACATAAGGTAAATTGAAAATTGCAGAACGCGAAGTTTTTATTATAAAAATTATATAATAAGAGATAAATTTAATAAAAAAAAGAGAGAAAAACAAAACGAATTTCTATTTCAGAGAGCCTCAATATAAATTTATTATTCAAAACATACCAAAAAGGGTGCGCACGACCATATAAAGCTCGTACCAGCATTCAAATACGCCGCTTCTTTTAATACTTGGATTTCCTTGACTCTGATTTTAAGTATCTGCTGTTCGAATGAAGGTTCCCACGCATACAACTTCAACACTTTTATACCATTAAGTACTTCGTTCATTAACTTTACCCTCTCGTCCTTGCTCTTCATTTGTCTGATTTGTAACGTTTTCACTTTGTTCGCGATTAAGCCGTTCACGGGAATAAGAATGATCATAACTGCTAAGCCGGCGAGCACCGCCGGTCCTAGTATCTCCCATAAAAAGTACAAAGCTAAGGCGATTTGTAGAGGAGCCGACCATATCATGTTTATGTACGCGGTTAAGTCCATAAATCTTTGGGCGTCTACAGACATTAGATTTACTATTTCACCGAGTGTGGATTCCTTTCTAGCTGCGTTCGACAATCTCAATGCTTTGCGATAAATTGCCGCAATTAATGCAGTACGTATGCGCAATCCGACTAAGAACATACGATGAAAATATTGGGATAGTATTAACGTTTGAAGTACTGCTGTAAGTAAAAGTAATCCGGCATAAACGTAACCTTTCCACATTTCTTCTTCTCCTTCGATGAAAGCAATTAAGAGCCTAAACAAAAAAAAAACACATTATAAATATACATGTTATGTAAGTAAGCGATTAAAACATTCTAGTAAAAATATTGTTTATATTATTTATGTTTCATAAAATAAATCGAGAAGACGGAATAAAGTCTAAATTAGATATAAATCACATCACATTTTTTTATGTTACGCATTATTTAAATGTACTTACTTTAATATTTGAGGGCTAATAAAAGTCATAACGTCTTGAATCAGTTTCAGGAAAGCGCCAAACATGAATGTAGCACCGAAAGCTTTACAGATAGGCGGTAGGATGGAAGCAACTTTCTTTTTTCGGCCGCTATTAAAATCCACTTGTCCAGACGCTTTTCGAAATGATGCTTTTGCACTTTCTACTCTATATGTGTATAAAGAACATCTATTGTATATGCTTATAATTTAGATTGAATAATTATGATAAAAATAAAAACATTATACGACACATCCTACCTAAAGTAAGTCCAAACCAACCTTGTTAGCACAAGAAATGTATGAACATGTTAAAAAATTTTTAATCAAGATTTTATATATTTTCTCTATATTTATATTTATAATATAAATTTAATAAGATATATGCAAACAATATGATGCTGTTATAATTACATACTAGCTAATAAAATAATATAGTAATATATTCTAAAAATATATACATACATATATATATAGATACATATATAAAATGTGTTTAAAGTAATAAATCTTTAGAAATTGAATAAACATGTCTGTGAATAAATGTATCTTTTCGTTAACCTGAGTATTTTGTATTCAATATTACTATACAAATATATTTAGTATTAATATAACATTTTTCTGCATTAGATTTCTTTATATATATTTAAAAAAAAACAACTCACACACACATTAATCAATCATACTGATTGCAAATATCTATTTCTAAAGAGTATAGAGATTCAAGTAAACTTACTCATCTGTTTTTATCAAGTTTTTATTCCAATATTTATCGAATTTCGGCACTATTTCTGTGGCCATATCCTCTGGATTCATGGACCATAGATCGGATGTTTCGAGCGGTTTTCGGAAACCTTTCCATGCTAAGGAATCGAACCACGCAAAAAGAATTCTTGATGGAAAAGAAGAGCTTTGCTCTGGACATGGTGTTTCAACCTGAGTTTTGAGTAAATATACATATTTTTAAAATTGTTTACAAATACTAAAAACTTTCAAAATAATTGATTTCAAGATTTTATGTATCGTACAATATCAATTTGCACATTTTACATCAGTGCAATCATATAATCAATATAAGATAAATTACCGTAGGATATTCGGAGAATTTAGGCTCTGCATCGACCAGAAAATTAAGTACAAACAATATCACAACTATTGTATAGTTGGTCATATAAGTTATCGATAGAGATGACGACTCTTTCTAAAAACACAACAAATTATTATACTATAAATTATTATCTGAAAACTACAACTTTTTGTATTAAGACTAATAATATATGATATAATTGTGATAAAAATGGAATGTAAAAAAAATTATAAAAAAATTATATAGAAAATATTCTTAACAAATATGTATACATTTAAGATACATTCATTTCAAATATTTAATTGCTTTAATATTATAAAGACTCAACATACCCCATCAATTAAATCATTTATAGAAACTCTGTACTGTACACTTCCACATAATGCAAGGAAAAACCAAAATAGGAATAAAAGACCTGATGTCCGCATTCCACGTTTTCTATTATATATCATTAAAATAGATGCTAATATCTAAAATAATTAAATAAATTGAATTAAACATTATATATAGACAATTTGTGTGATAAATATGATTTTTTTGTATTGTGCGATAAAATCAAATAATAAACATTTTCAACTTGAGAAAAAATAAAAATATTTAAAAAATATATACTTTTTTAAAAATATATTCTATCTTTATTTAAAATACTTATATTCTTCTTTATCTTTCTTTCGTATCTTTATATAAAATACTTTATTTTAAATATAATCCATATTATATAGCTACATAAAAAATATATTTAAAATATTAATTATATAAAATGTACTTACAAAAGTAATAATTTTTATAAATGGTGTGTAATAATCTACACTGTAGACCGTATGATGAGCATACCCTGCCAGTATTATATCAACTATGGAAATTATAATTAATCCTACTGTAAGTACTTGCTTAGAAATAAATAACCATGTATACGGGACATTTCTTCTTTTACTATTTATAAGGTAATATGCTTCCATCAGTGAGAATACCCATAAAAATAGACATGGTATCCATACCAATACCGTTTTTGGAAGCATTCTGTTAGATCTGGATTGTTTGTGTACCATGTTAGATTAGCATCCTAGAACAGTCAGAAATTTTAGATCAAGCATATTAATCTTTGTTATATCAAAATTTTTAGAACAGCATTGCAAATAAGCAATACTATTCGGCACATCCTTATTAATATTTAAAACATTTCGATGAGCTAAGGTATGTGTTCTAAAAAAAGCATAAAAAGACATGAACCAAAAAAGAACTGAGTGATAATGGTACTAATACTATATAAATGCTATAGACAAATAAAAAAAAGGAAGAGAAGACTTGATAATATCAGTAATCACTCCATTTGATGCATTCAGGAAATTAAACTATTGCACAACAATGTGCGGCAAACAAAGTTAAACGAGTCGACTCTTCAATTACTTTGATAATGATTTTTCTGTCTTTTTCTTTTTTTTTTGCTGACTTATCTTTGTAATTTTTTTCAACATTATATAATATGCTCGCAGACCATATTAATTTCCCCATCACAATACATATTTTTCGTATTCCCATAAAAGAAACTTGACGATTGTGTTCTTAATAAAATATTTAAAAATCGAGAATTTTTTCATTAATTATTGCATTAATTATTTGCCAAGGCACATTTTCATTCTTTGCGAATTCCATGAATTCGATAATTCACAAAGTTGTTTGCTGTATAAGGTATAATAAGCATCCTCGCTTACGCTTGTAATTGTGTTTGTCTTTGACAAGATAATAAAATGCAGATATATAGATCTCAATTGATAAACGAGCACAAATATTTGTTCACGAGGCGCCCAAGATTTTACTTCGTGCGCTCCAACATTTTTTTTACAATTTCGATAAACTGACATCGCGCAACAATAAAAATGACATTTCCTTGCACCACACATTATTGACTCTATTATTAGTCATTCATGGAAGGTGTGTGCGTGTAGTGTAAAATGACAGGGTGAAAGCGGGATGACGTTACGAGCCGATTCAGCATCGTAGCTTTTGAGGACAAAAGCGTACATAAACACAAAAATATCGGATTAAACGCGACTGACCGATATTATTGACACTTAAATTTAACGTGACTCGACAAATCTCAAAGAAAAATGATGATGCTCGTGAAATATGCGGCTGCTTATAACCGTTATACGAATAACCAGAAATGAGAGAGAGAGAAAGAGAGAGAGATAAAGGGTAAAAGAAGGAGCAAAGAGCGGTGTTAGATTTCACTCACCCAAAACTTGGTGCCGCAAAACTCGTCCATCATTTGATCTTCCATATTGACACATTTAATTGGCCGGCTTTAATAACCGAACCGTTTTCGCAGCGAAGGCGGAGCGTCGTCGACCAGAGAATCGCGTAGACCTTCTCCGAAAAGGGATATCGCCCCGATTCACACTACACTACGGCACACGATGACGATGAGTCCAGCGAATCCGCGAATTGTGAGAGTGATGCGCGCGAGCGACGCGTCGCTCCGAAAGGCATCTAAAGGCGTCCGGAACGAGAATAAACGCGGTTGCGAGGAAGTGCGGTATAGATAGACGAGTCGTCGTCGTACGTCGTCGCGCGCGGCCGTGCTTCGAGTGTAACGTGAGTGAAAGTAGCCGATAATCGCTCGCCCAATAGGTATCGAGCTATCGACGCGGCGGGGAGCGAGATCGACCAATCGCGCAACGCCGATTCGAATTTGGGCGGGAAAGTCGCGCGCGCGTACGCGCCAATTTTCGCACTTGCGTTCACGTGCACGTCATACTTGACAGTCCACTAATTTCTCTTTCTCTTGAAAATGTTATCGATGCAATCGATCTTTGCATGTTCAGCGATTACGAATTCCCCGAAAATTGAGCTTCTCACGCGAGTTTCAACAAAAAGATCTTTGATAAATATCTTACTTTTATATGAATTGCAAACTATTATTTATGAACAAACAATACATATATATATATAGTTAAAAATTGCATAATTATAAAATGATAATAACTTAATATATATAAATATAAATTTAACATATATATAAGATAGGCAATAAGAGCCAAATCGCGGATGACAGTGCGTTATTCTAAACGAAACTAAATTTTTTCGTTAGAATTAAATACCTGTGCACAAGGCACCAAATTTTTACTTGGACACGGCCAAGATATAAAATTGGAATAATCTCTACAAGAGATTTTTAATTCCATGTATCCCCTATTCCCCCTAAAGAAATAAAGTGCGAGAGAAAAATATAGATCCGAAAGTCGCAGAATCGGGAATCGAACCCGAGACCTTTCGCTTGCCGGGCGACTGCTCTTCCAACTGAGCTATTCAGATCCTTTCGATTCTATACTTTTCTCTGTTATATATATTAATGTTGGTAAATAAACGCCTTTAAGCCAGCGTGTATAAATTAAGAGTTTAACTAGGCTCTGTAATATATAAATATAAATTTAACATATATATAAGATAGGCAATAAGAGCCAAATCGCGGATGACAGTGCGTTATTCTAAACGAAACTAAATTTTTTCGTTAGAATTAAATACCTGTGCACAAGGCACCAAATTTTTACTTGGACACGGCCAAGATATAAAATTGGAATAATCTCTTAGAGATTATTCCAATTTTATATCTTGGCCGTGTCCAAGTAAAAATTTGGTGCCTTGTGCACAGGTATTTAATTCTAACGAAAAAATTTAGTTTCGTTTAGAATAACGCACTGTCATCCGCGATTTGGCTCTTATTGCCTATCTTATATATATGTTAAATTTATATTTATATATTACAGAGCCTAGTTAAACTCTTAATTTATACACGCTGGCTTAAAGGCGTTTATTTACCAACATTAATATATATAACAGAGAAAAGTATAGAATCGAAAGGATCTGAATAGCTCAGTTGGAAGAGCAGTCGCCCGGCAAGCGAAAGGTCTCGGGTTCGATTCCCGATTCTGCGACTTTCGGATCTATATTTTTCTCTCGCACTTTATTTCTTTAGGGGGAATAGGGGATACATGGAATTAAAAATCTCTTGTAGAGATTATTCCAATTTTATATCTTGGCCGTGTCCAAGTAAAAATTTGGTGCCTTGTGCACAGGTATTTAATTCTAACGAAAAAATTTAGTTTCGTTTAGAATAACGCACTGTCATCCGCGATTTGGCTCTTATTGCCTATCTTATATATATGTTAAATTTATATTTATATATTACAGAGCCTAGTTAAACTCTTAATTAATATATATAGTTAAATTGATAATTAGAAAATGATGATAATTTATATATACATATATATATATATATATATATATATATATATATATATATGTATGTGTGTGTGTGTGTGTGTGTGTATACAATTAAAATGATAATTATAAAATAATGAAAATAATAATAAATATAGTTAAAACTTAGGCAATTATAAAATGATAATGATATATATATATATATATATATATAATTATAAAATGTTTATGATAATGACATTGTGATAATTTTTAAATAAAATATCTCTTGATAAGGATGCGCGAGTTTCAAAAATAAAAGATTAACGATAAGATTTATTGTCATTAATAATGAATCATTAATATTGTGGAACGTTCGATTTATCACTTTTGTAATAAATGCAAATCTACATTATTTTTAACGAGTATAAAGTAATTTATTCGGGACATTTCAAAGTATCTCTGTGTGTTGCGTTTTAATAATGAATTTTTTTACGTTCAATGTTGCACATGATTTATAGCCGTAAAAAAAACAACTCATTCGTTCTTCAGTATATACGTTTACCTGAGAATTGATTTATTCGCAGTGATGAATTCTGTAGTCTACTAATAGACAAAGTAGACGTACGTGATCAAGCAGCTCGGTGTTTATTCTCGGCCAATTTCACAGAAATCTTTTTTTATCCCTCCCTATATTCTATTTTTTACTTACGCACAATTTTCATACGGTGACATATCTGCGAAAATAAAAATTTCCATTTACGCGACATTATGGTTTTATCTGCTGTAAGTATGGCTCTATTTTTACATAATAGGCGGATACCGGACTATCACGAAACAGTTTATATAACATTGAATGCGTGAACGGAGACCTTGGAGAATCTGATGATCTTATTGAACGCATAACGTGAGAGAATATAAACCCCTGTTTTTAAGCGCGAATTACGTACACGCATGCACGTATACGCACACGTGCAGAGAAATATCACTATCCATATATCCCATAATATGCCATACTGCGATATTACTATATATGTGTATTATGTATATCATCTCTCGTTGAGAAGTTTATTGATTGCGAAATGCTCGAGTAACTTAATTACGCAAAGTTAACGCATAACATATTATCACAACAAAATTGCAAGTCAAATATACTAAAGATATAATTTTAATTAATTTTCCAGTGCGAGAGAGAGAGAATGAAAGAATATTAATTATTGTAGAATATAAAATAAATATAATACAGAGATAATTGTCACGCATTCTTATCGAGACCTAAAAAGCGAAATTATAAATATTGATGATATCAGCAAAATTGTATTAGCATATATATCTGATTAAAATTAGACAAATATAATTGAATGACATAACATATAAATATCCGAGAAATCAGTTATAAATTCTTATCAATTCCTCATTAATACCAGAAGGTTGACGTATTACAATTAAATATGTGTGTTACTATATTTCGTTCGTCTCTTTTAGTGAATATTGCACAAATATATACATATTATACATAACGAATGCACATATGACATTATGATTATTGTGAAACATTATCAGTTAAAAATGTTTCACGTCATATAAGATATAGATATTGATATAAAGACAATCATTGTGAGATATGATTAATTATATCGCGAATGAAAATATTAAGATTTTGATTATGAAAGATTAGTATTAAATTTAATACAATTCGGCGAAACTATATAAACATTATATAGTTTATATATATATATATATATATATACGTATAGTAAATTGCATTATAGAGAATAAACAAAAATATTATATAGAAAAATTAAAACATAACTTTTAAAGATGATGATTGAATAGTATTTTTCTTCTTAAATAAAAAAATCTTCCTTCGTATTATAATTTTCCTTTTGCTCTTTTGTTTTCTTTTTTTTATTTACGTGTATCGTGTCTTTTTTCTATTTTAAAAATTTCCGAGAAGATGTGACTAAAATCTGATGATAAAGTATTATGCTACTACTTGTAATCGTAATTATGATAAATGATATCTGTTTTTTTTTTTGCAAAACAAAAAACTGCACCTACAATAAGAATGATCGCTACGTCACTAGGCAATTCGTCATGTATTCTTGCAAATATACATACACACATATATATATGTATACACATATCCACGCAGTTTTTAGGGAACATGATTATAACGATACGAAACACTGATTTCAAACAATGGATTCATGCATCTGTGTCAATGTGACGTACGTAAGTGAATAATAATGATTATGACAATACATTGCCTTTAGACTTTAGATAAACGCTGAGTCATTGTATGTTAAATTTTCTTCTCGCTATCTATTATTACATTGTAGTATATTCCGTGTATTGTTAAAAAATTTATGCACCAGGGTACGCATCACAATTTTAAAGAGAGAAATCTGTCTCCAGCTTTAATGTAACTTATGTAAGTTACAAATATAAGAGACAAATATTTTAAAAATGACAGAATTGGTTCGTATTACATAACTATGTTCAAATAATGACGTCAGTATTAAATATAACGATAATGCATGTAAAAAGTTAAAATAATATCTATATAAGTGTTCTATATAAAACGCGTTTTATTTTTCTAATAAAAATAAATATATATGATGTCATAATACAAAAAATACGATCAAAACATATTTCATAATACATAGCAATCACGAAAAGTGTAGAAAGAACACGGATTATTCAAACTTAACGTTGCACTACATAGTGCAATTATAAACATCAAATACATACATACATACATACATACATATATATATATATATATATATATATATATATATACACATACATATATATATATATATATATATATATATACACACATACATATATATATATATATATATATATATATATATATATAAAATTAAGTATATAATAATAAAACTGAAACACAATGTTTTAGCGTCTTTTCTACTAAATTACATCATGTTAAATAATCATTTGGCAATATCGTAGTAATGTCGAGTCATTAACGAGATATAAATTATACGCAGGCATATTTCATTTTTGCATTTCTTGTGTTACTTATCCTATCTTATTTATATCTTTGATGATTTTTTACTGTTTATTTATTTCTCATACATTTTATATTACACACACACACACACACACACACACACACACACACACACACACACACACACACACACACACACACACACACACACATATATATATATATATATATAAAATTTATATCTCGTTAATAACTCGACATTACTACGAAATTGCCAAATAATTATTTAACATGATGTAATTTAGTAGAAAAGACGCTAAAACATTGTGTTTCAGTTTTGTTATTATATACTTAATTTTTTCACACTATATATAATTAGAACAATTATTGAAAAATTCCCATACAACTATAGATAATATG